ACGTGGCCTCAAGGTGCACCTGGCCTGGCACAGGCACCGTGGGAACGTCACCGTCACTTCATGGGTGTTGGTATAGCCGCATTCAAACGCGTAAGCACGCAGTGTACATTTTACAATTACGTAGCGCCGTTTATTTAGCCCTTCGTCAGCAGCTATGGTCAATCCACTGCTGGATGAAGGCCTCCCTCCCCCCAAACCGCGATCTCACGCGATCCAACTTTCCAACCCCTTACACACGAGCTGATTTAGTAACTCCATCTCATCATCATATTCATCGGCGGTCTGTACTGTGTGAATCATTCCATTCCTTTGGTGCCACTCCATCACGTAACTCGTCCATCCGGGTCATCATACCTTTACACCCGAGCCCACTTAATTTGCTTAAGCATTTAAATTACAATTACTTGTTTTTAACCCTTGTGATCTCTTAATCCACGTGTTATTTTCTCTCTCAATGTCATTCTGCTGGACATCTGTGAAAAACTATTGGGCGTCTATGAAAAATAACTTTATTGCTTATCGAATTCCTCAAGAATATTCTGATTCTGAATTCCAAGCACGCATTTTCCGTCCATACTTCTTTGGAAAATGTTTGAGTTCCATATTTTAGTTTCTGAACAAGTTGGGCACACAAATTATTAGCACAAATATTTTGGCAAATTGGTATATTTCAAGTTCAAATTTCGAAAAGCACTCCATCCAATGTGCTCTCGCGCACCTCTATTTCATAAGTTTGAGTCTGTTTCACCTTTAGCAGCTGTTTGAAGACACTGGAGTAACCATCAACCCCATCAAGAACATAAACATCCTTCATAAATGTATAGGGGTGTTATGGGAAAGAAACACACGGTGTGGGAAGGTGAGGCACAGCCACACCTGGGTGGCTACAACCACGTCCACTATAGCCCCGCCCTCAGTGGGGTATGGGTATAAAGGGCGGGGAGCCAGAGAGCTCGGGGCAGTGTGTTGGGGCCAAGAGTGAAGAACCAGTGAAGAAGGAAGGCCGGCTAAGTAGACCCTGGGACTTCCCTGACTGCTGTCCTTTTCAGGGCCGGCAGGGCAAGCCAGTGGTACGGCCTCAGAGCCGAAGTCCTTTTAAGGGCCGGTCTGGTTGGTGGGGTGCCGAGATCTGTGCTTGACCAGGGCCAGATCAGATAGCCTCCTCTAGCGCCTGTAGCTGGAGGAATTGGGAGCATAGGGCTTATGCTAGACAGCCTAGGGGTAATCCCTGAGTGTATACGGGTGAAGGGGCCGTAACCCCTTGTTCAATAAATAGTGCTGCCTGTACTCTAGCGTCTCCGTGTCCTGGGAACCCACTACAAATGGAAAATTAAACAAGTCATAGAAGTGCGACCGTGGCCATGCAACCCAAACTATGGACCACATACCGTATAGTAAACCACTAAAGTCTGTGCTCCTTCAACAGAGGAACGGCAAAGCTACACCAACTCTCTTCCCTGAAGCTCTCTCGTGGCTAGCAAAACTCACTCAACATTAATATTTAGCTCCTGAACATATTGCTGTCACATGTAAGAATAGAATTGCTAGGTGCACACATTCTTCCGTTTTCCAGTAATCTCTCTCTTGACAGATATCCCCGAAACGTTTAGAAAACCTACGAGTCAGCCCTTATTGGTCAGGTTCATAACATTTTTTATCTAAGTATTATGAACCCTCATTGGTACAGTATTCTAACGACATAAACACATTAACACGTAATTTTATTAAATGTTAACCGAGATACAGGAGAACTTAGATTTAGGTATAAACCAGTCATTATTACAATTCATTTACATAACTGGTTTAAATAAAAAAAAACACATGCAGTACTGTGGTGTTGCTTACAGCGAAGGGATATGTAAACTACACTTCTCCGTATTAACAAAAAAAGACATAAAACCACAAGCTCTTATCTTCACAACAGGAAACCGCATTGGTCCCTTTCCGAATCGGCCTTGTACGCGAATACGCCCCACCGATCCCCTCCCTCTAACAAGTCCACTCACTAATTTTGGCACAGCTCTTAACGCGCATTCGTAAACTCAGCAGCTGCCTGCAACTCCTCCCAAGACAACTCTCGCCGCTGTGACGTTGCCGTCCTATTAATATTTGCTGTGAACTGGACGATGTGGCGGAGCTGCCTTTTGTTTTGGCTCGAGTTCAAACACGAAGGGGCCGTCCATAAATGACGTCACGCACCTGGGGGGGGGGGAGGGGTCAGACATTTGTGACGATGTGTGACGAGAGGGGGGGTGGGGTTCGAGAAATGTGACGTCACATCAAAATGCGCAACTTTAAATATAGACAACACGTGCTACTTAATGAAATTGACTTTTTTTTATAAATGTGTTCTCCTACAACATCAAAGTGCAGCGCCACATTAAATACGCACTACAATGACAATAGTTTAAAGCAATTTGAAGCATGTTTTATTTTTGAAGGAGGGGGGGGGGGGGCAGAGCTTTGTGACGTCATATTGGACGGGGGGGTCTGACTTTTTGTGACGCCGCGTGACGAGAGAAGGGGGGGGGGTCAAAAATCGTCCAAAAACGCGTGACGTCATTTATGGACGGCCCCTAAGCGGCGGAGGGATGGCATACTCGTCAGCGTGTTCCGCTCCGAGTCCGGAGATCTGACATCGATCGATCGATTCCCAGCCACGGATAACATAAGTGGCGAGTGATTTTTTTTAGCGGTGTTGGATGGCCCTTCACCCCACCTGCACTTGTCAGCATGGTCAGGTGTAGACACAGTGCCCATGACCGACACAAAATGGGGAGGCCTTCATCCAGCAGTGGATTGACAGAGGGCTGAACGTTATTTTATTTTCCAACACTATATGTCAACGCAATTTCAGGGATGTCGCCACGGTTTTGGTTGTCTTCACAAAGCGTCGTCACCTCGTGCACAATGTTTTTCTACAGCCAAGGTATGCGGAATGACATTGAATCGCCTGAGACTGCATAACTAAAATACCTTAATCTTTTATTTTTGGTTCATTCACCCACTGGTGGTATGACGTGTTTTGAATGTAAATAGTAGGGCACACACGTCCAACAAAACAGGACTTTTCAGGCGACCAAGCGAGCGCTCTGCCTTATCAACAAAAATAGCTCTGGAACAGATAGAAACGGCATAAAAACACTGTAGCCAAACAGAGATAAAGGTAGGTTTAAAAATAAATAATCGTTTACGTACATATTGCAGCCTAGTAACAGATAGGTGATCTATACACCGTGCAGGGTCAAATCGCAGAGCGAGGAACAACGTTCAGTGTTTGTGGAAAGGCCTTGGCGGGGGAAAAAAAAACCTTAACTGACTTTTTACATTTACAAGGCTTGCATCACCAAAACAAACAGGTTATATGTCTATATATTTAGATTTTAAAAAAATTCTCAAGATATTCACACCGAAGGGTTATTTTAGTGTCGGTTGTTTCACAATGTTTTTTTGTTGTTCTGGTTCAGAACACGTGGACAGCGATTTCACCAATGGCCCAATTTAACACGTTTAATATGTACGCAGTGTACACTTTTCATGAATATAGAGTTCACAAGCATCGATTGCTACCAACTTGGTAATGCAATCCATACACAGGGGTTACCCTGGAGCACTGTACACACAGAAGGCACTCCTTAGTTCAAGTGGCCTCATGACATGCGGCAAAAAGGATCACGTGAACACTTATAAATGCCTTCACAGGTATATTTATAAATAATTTAAGATACGCAAAGGAAACAACATTTCTCAATGCCACAGTAAATCTGTACTGAATGGGATGTGGCCTGATCTAAGGCGAACGGTAATTCTTGGGCAAAAACACGAAGCTTAATGGGGTAGTGGTATGCACACAACTCCACATTATAGATCAGGATGGCAGTCAGTGCAAGTTTTCACTAAGCTAATGTATGTTGAATTTCTTTCGCACCGTACGTATCCAACTGTGCTAACCGGAGGTGCGGCGGAAGGACAACCAAACACAAAAACCAGTTCTAAAGAAATGAGTTTTCAATCTAGATGTGAAAGTGCATGGCTTCCGTGACTTCCTAATATCAGAAGAGCTTTCCAGACAGCCGCAGAAGCACATCCGAAAGCACGCGATGCAGCGACCAGCCAAACGCTGCTGCGAGGATGACCGGCGGTTCGCGTGATGATGGTTTATGCTTCGTTACGAGATCAGCAAGGTATTGTGGTTCATTTGTCGCAATCGTTTCATGTGTAATGAGCGCGACCTTACAATGTATTCGTTCGTCAACCGGAAGTCAATGCAGCTCGACGAGCACTGGACGGACATGGTCGAATCTTGATCGAACCAGTAAACTACAAAGTAACATACTTTGGGTTATGTGAATGGTAAACAGTATTAGGGGCCAGTGCCTTCGTGAAAAAAGGCCTCAACATGGGGGCGGGGGCATGGGGGGAAGGGGGACTTCAATGCATAAACAAAGAGGATAAATTGAACAAGTGAGATTTTCTATAAACTTCACAGTCAAAAATATACGTCGGCACAGCACTTAATTTCATCACCATCATCAACAGACATTGCTAGTCCAACACTGCCTACACCCCCACCCCAAGCCACTCCCATCTTTATACGATCCAGTAATGCAACAGTCCAGCCAACACCTGCACACAACCCCATTTCCTCCGCCCTCCATCTCCTCGGTTGACCCCCACTCGGACGCGTTGCATTCCTTGGCTGCCATTTTTTTTGTCACACTCGTTGACTATTTTTCCTTATCCCTTCTAGTGATGCCTCCCACCCAAGCCCTCTTGCTTCTCTTGTTAATCTGTGTACGTTCTGTAATCCAGGCATGCATCTCTCCGTGTGTGTATGCGCCTTTGGTCAGTTTTTTGTTTGCTTTCTTTTCATGACCGAGTTTCTGAATCGTATCACGGCGGGTGTCATACACGGATTACAAACGTTCTTCTTTGGGCACATCCGACGGTTAACCGTCATAATAACGGTACAGTATTACAAAAAAACACTCCATACAATCTGCAATCATCCACCTCTTTATTTCAAAATTCAGATTTCGGTCCAAACTTAAAATAGCGGTCCAAGGTACAAATATGTTTCTGTGTTTTATCAGTCGTGTCACTTCGACAGATGTTTCGAGTATTTTGGCTGCGACACATTTCCCCGTGATAAGTCACTGCATTGGGCAATCATTTGTGGCCAGGTCGCTTCTGAAAAAGAGCTATGTAGCTCAGTGCGCCTTACTTGATGAAAAAAAATGGTCTCCAGCTGAAGTGAACTTGTTCCGCAAGATCTTTCATTTGCCCATATTTACATCCCGAGCCCTACTTTGCGACCTTCTTACGTTCTCTCAACGTTGCCCATCATACATTTCCATTGGACATTACAACGACAATGTCGTCAGAAGAATCTCCGACGGTTAATGTTTTCTCGATTCATTTTTCACGCATTCGTGTCTTCCAAACAACGTTCATTTTCCCTTCAGGCCGAGAGACTGAAACCAGCTTTGCCGTTGCAGACGCACTGTGCCGTGCTTAGACGTGGCTCTGACCAGCATGCCACCCTTGCTCAACCGACCTACCAACAACAACGACGACAAAAGGAACAAGCATCACTTTGTGAACCTTCACGACAAAACGTGTCGAGCAGACACCAAGCATTCGCCACTGCGGACAGAAGCGCGAGGCTATTTTTGTCCAGGGGCAGTACTGCAAATCACGTGCGTGTAAAACGTAGCCACATGCCCGTCACAAAGAAAACCCGTTTGCTTAGGGTAATTCAATTCGAGTGGGGAAAATCAGTCAACTTGTCTGAACGCTCGAGCTTTGTTACATTCGCATAGATGGTACGTACGTGCCACAGAGAGAGGCAAAATTGCGCAAAGCCACGAGTTCCACATTTGCATAAGAACATCGTGTTTTTTGGCTTCGGTCCAAAATCCAGGAAAAAAAAACATTTGTTCTAGATGACCCGACAACGAGCAGCTGGGTCAGCCTAGATAAAGGTAAGGCTTAACATCAGTCACTGCCTTAATAACATTTTTGAAACAAACAATAAGCATTGAGACATCGTCGGGCACGAGCTTGTGTGAGGTTGAAAGGTAACATATGTGTGCACATTTTTGCGCGTGTAAAATGCATCATTATTATACAGTAATGGTTTAATAAGAAACCACCTTACCTGTCAAGGACTGAGTGCTTCCTTTAGTGCTGAGCTCCATGCTCTCCAGGTGAACATCAGGACTTACGACCACTCCTTTCCCACCAGTAACAAGGAATTCTAGCCCCAGGGAGTCTGGGAATTTGATATTTACATCTCCTATTCACAAGGCAGAAGAGGGCAGGACAACTGAAATCAGCATTCGTATGTCAATAAAAACATTTTTTGTACAAAATGAACACACATTGATATTGTTTCAGTGTATTTCAACCATAGATACCATTCACGAGATGAATTCCCCTTATTTACCCAGATATTCAACGGCGATGCAGCGGTTCGTACACCACTGCAATGGACCTAGCCATCAAAGTTCAACCCCTGGCAGTGGCCTACATCGGTAGCGAGTGATACTCGAAGTGGACCTGCCTCCATCAACCTGCAAATGGTCAAAGCCTCACCGAGTCTATCTTTGGGGACCGCCTTCCTATTTATAAACTCCTAGAGAGATGACAAAATATATTATATATAGACGGACGAGAAAGAGCGCAATGAGATGAGGAGTTACAGATGAGGCACGTTTACTGAAACGTGATGCAAAAAAGTAACGAAGATGTAATTAGATGAGATATTAAATATCTTTTCTTTTATATACATCAGTCTTCAATGCTTATTAAGATAAAAAAATTGAGCTGGCCACTCTTATTTTTTACGATTCCTGGCACCGTTTGCCGCTTGTTTCCCCCTAAGCCTTTGCGTGCGTCGGCTCATGCCGAGCGCCGCTAGCGGCGAGCACCTCGCTCGCTGTAAAGGTCCACGGCGCTGGGCTGAGAGAGGTGCACCGTGACGTCGCCCGCTCGCGTGCGAGCCACCAACCCCCCGTCCAGGCTTTCTGTGGAGGTACGGGTGGCACGGCACACAGGGGGACTCAATTAAGAGCTGTACGTGTGTGCGTGTGTGTACGTTCAACTTCTTTTGCCGCCGTACGTAATCCAAACCGTGCTAATCGGAGGTGCCGGGCTGCTCTCCGATTAATCTAAGCAATCGATTAATCGACTTCAATCGGACGACACGAAATTGTGGAAAAAAATGTCTCGCCTGTTTCCCCACGTGTGACACGGTGGGACGGGAGGTGATGGGCAGGGCTTGTGGCTGTGATCGGTTATTATCAGCCGGGGCGTGCTGGCCGAGATTTTGTTGGGGATGTTACTCACCTCTAGTAGGCAGGGTGTTGAGGCTGTGACTTGTTGGGCGGGGGGGGGGGGCGAGAATTCCAACCTTTAGTAGGCAGGGTGTCAGGGGTCGTGTGATTTTTTTAAGAGGTCCATGTAATCGACCATTGTAAATTAATCGATTATTAAAATAAATCCATTAACTCATAATCCAAGCTCGAGACTCAATGGAAAGGAACACAAAGGGCAGTTCAGTGACGTCATCTTCTAGGAGCATTCTCTGACACAGGGTGATGCACTGCTAGCTGAAGAGTTCCGAGAGGAGATTTCTTCATCGAATGATATTAATGATAATTGTAAGATAATTGTGAAATAAATAATTACGTCTCAGCCTCGCCAAAGCGGTCGCATTTTACAATGTTGGAACTTGGGGAACTCTATTAAGTTTGTGCGAAGCGCAAAATCGAAGTGCCGTTAGAAATTCTGAGAATGGCAAGATTCACGGCCACAAAAAAAACGCAGTTGCCGTGAGCACACTCCGCACCCTCTCTCGTTGATGACTCGCTGACGTACATGCCTGTGACGGCAGAGAACGTCAGCGAGCTTGGTGTTGGCAGTTGCCATGGCAGCCTACGAATCAATGAAATTCTTTGCCTAGAGGCCCAGCCAACAGCAACCTGTTTTCTGTCTGCAAATCATGAGCTTGCGTGATTGCCATCCCGTGCTCTGGCAACAGAGTGAAATACACCGCTACCACCAATCACAACTCGTTTCTGGGCTCATGGGGCATGGCGACAAGCATGAGAATTGCAAATGCATAACCATTGCAGGGGAAGAACGAGACTAACCGGGTTAAAGGGGGCAAGTTCCACGGTTGGCCCGAACAACATTTTACAAAGCAGAATAGTGCCCGGACAGTGCATACATACTATGTACTTTTAAATATTACAGAAAATAATAAGCATAAAGTGCGCATACCCACGTACAAAAATGTACACAAATGTCATCCTCGGAGCACGACTCCACTATAAACTCTTAATTGTTCAGAATTAGGTGATTAAGGGTGGCGCTGTAGTTCGGGTGCTAGGCTGCTTTAAAAGCACAAACAATGTGTACCTATGGAGACATGTAAAAAAATAAATCTAGAAATTATACGGCCCACCTCTTCCAAAACGTCTCGGCCAGAATGGAAGAGTAGAGCAATTACCTCGCTCGAGCTCCGTCGAGTGGAGGCCCTTTCGCCAGCAGTGGCGTGAGCGCGCGAGAAAATGCAGGACTGCACTTTTACCTTTTGAAACGAGTACCAATGTGATCAGGCCATCGTGTGGTCATTACGTTCGCACCCTACCAATCGGTGCATTCAAGACGGAAATTGCACCAGAATCGGTGACCGGTTGCTGACTGTTAGATCCGGTAATCAACTCTGAGAACGGTCATCGGTTTACCGGTTATCGTTTTACACACACCCCTACTGTGAAGCTGCTCTCTTATTGAGGTTCTAGTGACCCCATAACAGTTGCAGTGCCACCCTATGGCTGTGTTGCTGAGCTGCAGCTGAGAATCAGAATCTTTATTCAGACTTGGAGGAATCCGATAGACTATGAAGATCTTTTTCAGAGGTAGGTCACCCTACTGGACATCCCATTTTAAGAAATCCCACTGGTGCTGGACGTGGTATTTCACTCCCTCCCTTCACAAACAGCTGTCACGGAGTTCAATTACCAACCTATGACGATGTGTCCCTCGTCCGTAGTAACGACTGTGTTTCCTGCAAATACATAGCATTGTGATTGTTAGCGATGCACTGATACTTTATGGGACATTTTTATCCAGTCGTATTTTCTGTTGGCATCACAAGATGTTTTCTGTAATCCAAGTTCAAGTTTACTAGCGCAAGCGGCAGGCAACAGCATTAAAATTGTCGTTTTCCGAAATTAATATCAACAAGACTACGGGTTCAACTGACCGTGTGTGCTCCCCAAATTCACAGTTCCAGAAGTAGAGCTGAACTGCGACGATTCCGCGTAAATAAATTTAGCGTTCAGTGGACCACGCTTGGTGGAAACGCATGCTTTAATCGCTTGCAGCTTATCGATGTTCACCGACTGCAACAGCAAGAAAAACCTCGTTCAATATCGTCATCAGCAAGTGTCTATCCACCGCTGGATAAAGACCTCCCCATAGCGTCACCATCGCTCACAGTGCTGTGCTGTGCTGCTACCATCTGACTCGTGCACATGAACTGATATCATCGCTCCCTCTCCACGGTGGTCGTACCCTTTGGCTGCATTCCCTCCTTTGGCTGCCATTCCGTCACCAGTCTCGTCCATCACCCACCATCACGTTTGGCGATTACAATTACACTAAACTATTTGTTATTTTACCAGGTAAGGCTCATTGAGCTATATAGCTATTTTTAACAAGTGACCTGGCCACACATGATAGCTCAACGAAGTGGCTTAACATGTGGAAATTTATAGCAGCCAAATACTCTGAACGCATGCATCTAACTGTGGAGGGGAAAACCGGAGGACTCGGGAGAAAAATACACGCGATGACGGGGAGAGACATGCACACTCCAAAATATACAGCAGGCGTCATCTTCTCCTGTTTCATTTACCATCGTTTTTATACACTGGATACTCCTACTTTTGCATTTAAATCACCCTTTAAGATGTTTAAGTGTTTGGTCCTCATTTAGACGTTGGTAAATTTGTTCATACATTTGGTTTAATTATACATCTCCCATCTCTTGTTGTTGGATCATACATTTGAATTACCTTGAGCTTGTATCGGTTCAACATCCCTAATATTCACTGGGTAACTGCACACGTGTGTAAGTGACAACATGTGGGGTTAAGTCCAGCGCGCAGCTATGAACGCATCCACACACGGGAGTTCCAGTGTGAAATAAATAAATAAACCCACAAAAACTAAAAGCTTGTTATTGCGCAAAGAGACAGATCATGATCAAGTGGGACTTACGTTGCAACCTCTGGCATGGATGTTCACGTTACCCTGCAGGGACCCTATTGACACATTCCCGTGCTCGCTCTCAACGCTGATGTCTGCACCCTGCCATCACAAACAATGACATGTTTCAATGTAGAGTTGTTAAACAGTTGGTGATAACTATATATTTTTAAACACAACCCCGTATTTTTAAGGGGGGGGATTACCTTTATAGATGCTAAGTGAACGCCGCCTCTGTCCGTACGTACGCTACACACATCGCTTTCCATGCTGCCCACGTGGACTCCACCATCCCCGCTGGTCGCGAGATCCAAGTCTGGTCACAACAATGCCCGAATTGTCGTCATTCACCACAGTGGAAGCCACCGTCAACTCGACGCCCGATTTAGCACAAGCTGATGTATTTTTCACCCAAAACGTTAGAGCGACCGCAATGTGAATAAAGGTCCTGGCCAAGTGCAAGGGTGGGCATTAAGGATATGCTTATGTTCAGTGTGAAGGATAGTAGTCGTATCTGGTGGGCTCGTTGGTTTTGGTTGGTACTCGTAGTTAACTAGCGAGTTGGTTAAGGTCAGTGACAGGGCTACTGGCAATTTGCTAGTCTGTTCGGGCTAGTTGGAGTGGCTGATTGTTAGGGTGAATGACAGGGCTCGTACGATTTGTTGGTTGTCTCGTTGGTTAGGGTTACGGTCTGGTTGGTCAATTGGTTAATGTTGCTGGGCCCCTCCCTGGGGCAACTTTTGACCTTTTGAGTTTTTAGTAACTTTTGATTTATGGCGCCATAGATTGTCTGTTACGGTGCACGAAAAAAATAACTTTTGTACCACAGCAGATTATCACGCGAATTCAGTTCACAGTGGCAATTAACGTAATGATTACACACCTTATAACGCCCATTCTACCGGTGTGTATTAATACTTGCCAATCAACGTACTAAAATAAGATGGAATGAGAGAAAACAGCACGTGAATTATTTCCCCTATATGTCTACCATCCAATCTCAATACACGTATCACAAAACACTCCGATGTGAGATTTGGGGCCATCACCTTGGCGATGTTCATTCGGCTTTTGAGAAGATTGAGGATCAATAGAAATCAGTCGGGTATCTATACAGCACTGTTGTATATGGATCGCCCTGTCCAGGCCGGTCAAGATGTCTTGTGACCCCCCCCCACCCCAAAAAATAACTGATCCCTCACATTTATTTCCCTTTGCATATTAATTTGTTTTAAATAAACCTTACTTTAAAAAAAGTTTCAAGATAATTAAATGTGGGTCACAAAGACATCCGGAACATCCTGCACAGCATCATAAAATGTGCTGCACAAACAAGACACCTACCAAATTTAATTGGCACGGTCACCTCCAGTTGGTAACCGACGGCTCGCTCATTCCCCGTCACCTGCAATCGCTTGTGGGAATCGCTGTAGTCCACGCTTACGCCTCGTGCGCCCAACGCACTGCCCTGACCAGCGGGCGCGCTCTGCGGCCCAATGCCATTTCCACTGCCCTCTACAGGACCTTGCCCAATGCCCTCTCTAGGACCCTGCCCAATGCCCTCTACAGGACCCTGCCCAGTGACCTCTACAGGACCCTGCCCAGTGACCTCTACAGGACCCTGCCCAGTGACCTCTACAGGACCCTGCCCAATGCCCTCTCCAGGACACTGCCCAATGCCCTCTCTAGGACCCTGCCCAGTGCCCTCTCTAGGACCCTGCCCAGTGCCCTCTCCAGGACACTGCCTCGCGCCGTGCTCACTGCCCCGTTCCCTGAAGACCCTAACGAATGCTCTGTCGCCATCGGGGTAGCCGTGCGGGTCCAGGGGCAGCACGGACACGCGGCACGCGGCCCGCAGACGCAGCGACGAGAAGAGCGCCACGGGCGACTCCCACCGCGGCGACTCCCACCGCGGTGGCGCTGGGTTCGAACCGGGGCGGTGGCAAAGTCCACGCCGGGTCGCTCGAGTCGCCCGCCGCAGCGCGAGCGCGACCGATCGCAGAGCCGTCATTGTTGTTAACTCTCCTCAATCTATCCCGGACACAGGTCGCGGGGCTAGTCACGAAAAAAACAAACACGTGATGCCCGATTCAGTTGCCAACGCGAGCTCGAACGAGGTGAGTGTTGGGGAATAGTTAGGGAGGCTACGTGGTTAAAGTAATCGTGTTTGGCGAGTTAAGAGGCGGAACGCTTTAAACAAACAACAAAAATCCGCGACCAAACCGACCCCTCCCCCCGGCGCGGTTTCCAACAATCCCGCTGTGTTTTGTTGTTGTTGTTACGGCACTCGGGGAGGGGGGAAGGGATGAAGACGACGACGACGACGACGACAACTCCCGCACGTGCACACAACAGAGTAGGCCACGTGTGGGGGGGTGGGCGAGGCGTTGCATTTCACAGAGCGCTTAGGCCGGCACCGCCAGCTGATTGGCTTTTGGTGGGAAGGGCGAGGCATTACATTTCACAGAGCGCTTAGGCCGGCACCGCCAGGTGATTGGCTTTTAGTGTGGGGGTGGGCGAGGCATTATATTTCACAGAGCGCTTTAGGCCGGCACCGCCAGCTGATTGGCTTTTAGTGTGGGGGTGGGCGAGGCGTTATATTTCACAGAGCGCTTAGGCCGGCACCGCCAGCTGATTGGCTTTTAGTGTGGGGGTGGGCGAGGCGTTACATTTCACAGACCCCTTAGGCCGGCACCGCCAGCTGATTGGCTTTTAGTGTGGGGGTGGGCGAGGCATTACATTTCACAGAGCGCTTAGGCCGGCACCGCCAGCTGATTGGCTTTTAGTGTGGGGGTGGGCGAGGCATTACATTTCACAGAGCTCTTAGGCCGGCACCGCCAAGCTGATTGGCTTTTGGTGGGGGGGAGGGCGTTACATTTTACAGAGCGCTTAGGCCGGCACCGCCAAGCTGATTGGCTTTTGGTGGGGGGGAGGGCGTTACATTTCACAGAAAGCTTAGGCCGGCACCGCCAAGCTGATTGGCTTTTGGTGGGGGGGAGGGCGTTACATTTCACAGAGCGCTTAGGCCGGCACCGCCAAGCTGATTGGCTTTTGGTGGGGGGCAAGCGGTCGGGGGCTCTCTTGGCGCGCGCCTCTCAAACCAATCGGGTGACGGGCGAGCGGCGCACCTTTAGCGGCTTATCCGATGCGCGAAATTCAAGAGCATGGTTATTAATGTATTTACAGTAAATTTTGATTTAAAGCTTTCGTGACTGCAGGGATTCATATTCTTGGTTCTTTCGGTAAAGTCACGTAGAAGGGAAACATTAAAATAAAAAAATATATGTTTTTTATTGTTTTACGTTTTTATTATTGTATTGTTTCCCTTCTACGTGACTTTACCGAAAGAACCAAGAATATGTATTTACAGTACTTTGTTGTTGTTCGACGGCGTGACGTAAGTCGCAGATTGCGCCGCGTGACGTCATTGAATGTAGGGTTAGATTTAAATTTTTAGCGATAGATTTTATTTTATTTACTTGAGCAGGAAGGGTCCTATTAAGATTTAAATGAGATTATTTAGATTGCGTCTAGATTGTTTAGGTTATTGTTGTACACGTTCTGACTCGCCTTTTCCGGGCATCTGTGAAAACGAGCTTTACAGCTCACCGGATTCCTCCAGTAAATTTAATATTCTTAGTCTCTCTTTAATAAATTATTTTTTTATTTCTACGTGACTTTACCGAAAGAACCAAAGAGTAATAATTCCTGCAGTCAAGAAAACGCCAAATCAAATTCTTAGTCTCTATACAGATGGACATCGTGACGTCGCCGAGTGTTACCGCGAAGCTCGTGACGTCGCCATTGTGTTGCGGCGCAGCCCGTGACGTCGCTGAGTATTGCGGCGCAGCCCGTGACGTAAACCGGAGGCACCGCCGCAACTTCGTGCCTCGTGACGTCACAGGCGCGCCGAGGTTTCCCCCCGCGTGACGTCACAGGCGCGCGCGTGACGTCACGCGGGGGGGTGAAAGCGAAGCGATAGTCATGGCGGCGTCCACCGGCGTGCTGCCGTTCGTGCGCGGCGTGGACTTGAGTGGAAATTCCTTCAAGGTTCGCCGTGAAACACTTCGATAAAAGATTCACATACGTGTGTGTGTTTGTTTGTTTGTTTTAAACGCTGGCAATAAACGCCCTCGGCAATGTAACGCGGTTTGCTATCGGTGTGTTAAAAATCAATTGCGCCGAAGTGTCTCGCGTGTGTCTCGTGTGTGTTGTGTTGTGTCTCGTGTGTGTGTTGTGTCTCGTGTGTGTGTTGTCTCGTGTGTGTTGTGTCTCGTGTGTGTGTGTGTTGTGTCTCGTGTGTGTGTGTTGTGTCTCGTGTGTGTGTGTGTTGTGTCTCGTGTGTGTGTTGTGTCGTGTGTTGTGTGTGTGTTGTGTCTCGTGTGTGTCTCGCGTGTGTCTCGTGTGTGTGTGTTGTGTCTCGTGTGTGTGTTGTGTCTCGTGTGTGTGTGTGTTGTCTCGTGTGTGTGTGTTGTGTCTCGTGTGTGTGTGTGTTGTGTCTCGTGTGTGTGTGTTGTGTCTCGCGTGTGTCTCGTGTGTGTGTTGTGTCTCGCGTGTGTGTGTGTTGTGTCTCGTGTGTGTGTGTTGTGTCTCGTGTGTGTGTGTTGTGTCTCGTGTGTGTTGTGTCTCATGTGTGTGTGTTGTGTCTCGTGTGTGTGTGTGTTGTGTCTCGTGTGTGTGTGTTGTGTCTCGTGTGTGTGTGTGTTGTGTCTCGTGTGTGTGTGTTGTGTCTCGTGTGTCTCGTGTGTGTGTTGTGTCTCGTGTGTGTGTGTGTGTTGTGTCACGTGTGTGTGTGTGTGTTGTGTCACGTGTGTGTGTGTGTTGTGTCTCGTGTGTGTGTGTTGTGTCTCGTGTGTGTGTGTGTTGTATCTCGTGTGTGTGTTGTGTCTCGTGTGTGTGTGTGTGTTGTGTCTCGTGTGTGTGTGTGTTGTGTCTCGTGTGTGTGTGTGGTGTCTCGTGTGTGTGTGTGTTGTGTCTCTGTGTGTGTGTGTGTGTTGTCTCGTGTATGTTGTGTCTTGTGTGTGTGTGGTGTCTCGTGTGTGTGTTGTGTCTCGTGTGTGTGTGTGTGTTGTCTCGTGTGTGTGTGTGGTGTCTCGTGTGTGTGTGTGTTGTGTCTCTCTGTGTGTGTTGTGTTGTCTCGTGTATGTTGTGTCTCGTGTGTGTGTTGTGTCTCGTGTGTGTGTGTTGTGTCTCGTGTGTGTGTGGCGCAACACTGCCGACCGACTCTCCCTCTCTCTCTCCTTGCGCACGATGGCCACATTGCGAGTGTTATGTGAAATGGCATTGTCGAGAATTCTTCTTGAGCCGCCACGAGGACGAGGCGAATGTTCGTGCGCAGCTGCCGCTGTTCCTCCGTTAGCCGCGGTTGCTTTGTTGATCACCGAGGGACGTGCGGACGCTTGGCCTCGTCGCCACAGCTGCTTGGCCTCGTCGCCACAGCTGCTGTTCGCGTTTGAATGACTTGGACGCGAATTTAATAATGAAACGATTCCTTCCCCTTCCGTCGTTTCTTGTTGGACGCGAGCTCGAAGCCGTGCTTTAGTGACCAACGTGAATTACTTGATGTTCGTAATGCAGGGGATTCGTATTCTCGGTTCTTACCAAGAAAAGAACCAAGACAAATGAAGGGTTGCGTGTTTGGGTTAGATCGCGTGTACAAAATATGTATACGATTGTGTCGTCGTTAAAACGCGACACCACCACCCGACACGGCTAATTTGTAAGGTCTGTCACGTGAACAGAACGTGGCCAATTTCATTGCAGGCACAGCAACACCGGTTGTGTGTTTGAGAGCCAAGCCACAACGTTTATAATCGTGAGTGTACGACGTTTCGCTAGTAATTGCAACTAGCTTCATCAGGCGACGGCCAGATTTGTGGAGAAAATTTATTTTTAAAAGTCGCCGTGTGGCGCTGCATTCTCACGTCATAGGGGCCATCCATAAATGACGTCACGCGATTTTGGACGATTTTTGACCCCCCCCCTTCCCTTCGTCACACGACGTCACAAAAAGTCAGACCCCCCCCCTCAAATATGGCGTCACAAAGCTCTGCCCCCCCCCAAAATAAAACATGCTTCAAATCGCTTTAAACTATTGTCATTGTAGTGCGTATTTAATGTGGCGCTGCACTCTGATGTAGGAGAAAACATTCATTAAAAAGTCTTTAATTAAGTAGAACGTGTTGCCTATACTTAAAGTTGCGCATTTTGATGTGACGTCACATTTCTCAAACCCCCCCCCTCCCCCTCGTCACACATCGTCACAAATGTCTGACCCCCCCCCCGCCCCCAGGTGCGTGACGTCATTTATGGACGGCCCCATATTTTTAAAACGTCGCGGCTCCACTTTGTTCTCGGGTTGTATCGTCCCAAAAAACTCGGTGGCGATTTCTCTTCGGATATTTTTTTTTCACCGAACATTTCGTTCGCCTCCGTTTCCCGCCACACGTTAATTGTGATTGCAATATCTCCGTATTCTTGTATACAGGGAAATCGAGATTTCAGGCCCATACGACGTACAGCCGTTTCAACACGGGCAAAATACTAAACAAATCTTATATTCTATGGTTCTTTCGGTAAAGTCACGTAGATAGAAAAAATAATAATAAAATAATAAAATTTAAGTGAATATTTTTTGTTATTCTTTTTTTATATCCACGTCATTTTACCGAAAGAACCATAGAATATGAATTCCTGCAGTCACGAACGTTTTAAGTAAAAAACAAATCTATTTGTGTTTATCCCTAGTAATGGGACTTTGATGGATGAACGTTGAGATTTATAAGGGCACTGGGTGGCCAATGAGGTCTGAATTGGTCTTTAAAAAGGTGGGCACTGATAAGGGGTTGACAGGTTTGTGATTAGAAGTTAACCCCCCCCCACCAGGTCGTCTGCTTTTTACGTGAAACAATTTTGAGCAAGAGCATGCGACCCCTTTTGTCGGATTAATTACCTTTAATGACGTGAAATCCCTAGTACGGTGACCATTAATGGTCTCTTTGGACACCCTTTAACCATGCGAATTTCCATTGGGAGGCATTCACCTTCAGACGGCCTTTGTGCTGTTGACAACCCTGCACCTAGGCTTTCACGACCAATATCCACAATAGAGGTTTTTGGGTTAGATCGCGTAAATATAGATGTGTTGTTAAACCTGCCAACTCTGGTTGTCCGCCTGATGATGCTAGTTGTAATTGTACTTGCAAAAGTCGTACTCGAATTGTAAATGTTGTGCGTTTACTCTCCAACACACACCGGTGTGCTGAGCTAGTAATTAATTTGCATATTTTGTTTATGTGACAAACCTTACTAATTTTCTATCACTCTGTGAAATCTCATTGAGATTCACTATGTAGCTGTCCGTAAAGCAGCAGGTTTGGATCCTTTTGGGAATGATATTTTCTCTAGATTGATGTCCTTCGCTAAACCAGATGAGAGCCAATTGATGTGCATTTCCTTCACTTGAATGGAGACTTGGGATACTGAATTACTGAATGAATAAATAAGGTTCACCGTTTATTTGCAAGCACTTAAAAAATGTGGAATTCTAATTGGTATAGCATCTTTAGCGTATAATTGCATACTCCTACAAATTATGATATTGAAAATAATTTTAAGTATTTGGCTGGATTTTAAAGTACCTTTTCAACTGTTATGCATTTTACTAACTCATTTATTTTCCATTCAGGGTGGCTACTTTCCTGAGAGTGTGGAAGACATGAGCAGTCTTCGGTGGCTGAAGCTCAACCACACGGGACTGTGTTACCTGCCGGAAGAGCTGGGAAAACTGGAGAAGCTGGTCCGTCATCATTTTAGTTCCTTAAGAATGTTGTACAATATTAACGGGTTAAAGTGGTTCTTCGTGTTTTTTGCAACCATTGCAGGTTTCACAGTTGTGCCATGCAGCTGCCAGATGTATGTTCAGGTTGTACCGCGAGTGGGTGTGATGTCCGACGTTTTGCTCTTCGTGCTGCGAGCTTCTTCAGAAAGTTTCGGACGCAGTTCCTGAACAAGCTCCCAGCACGATGAGTCAAACTTCGGGACATCAGTGCCAAACAAGAGGTGGTAACAACCTGAAAACAGTGGAGAGGGACTTGAACCAGTTGTCTGGGATGGGTCTATGGGAACTAATGCATTTATCCGAACTGCTATGTTAAGCAGTTAATGCTGCATATTTGTTCTGCTTTCTGCATTAGGAGTACTTGTCCGTGAGCCATAACAGCATCAACACCCTCCATGGAGAGATTTCACACCTGCCTTGTCTCCGGGTTTGTTCTTTTGAATTTTAAAATATTACAATTCAATAAATTATATCAGAATGAAAAGAAACATTTCGTTTGGAGCGTTACGGCATAGTTCCAACTACTTGCGTTAAAATTCGTACAATGTCAAATATGCCAGACGGTTTGTGTCATTGCCTTGGTTAAATCTTTTTTTGGTATTTCTGCAGGCCATTGTTGCTCGCGCTAACAACCTGAAGAACAGCGGCGTTCCCAATGACATCTTTCAGCTGGAGGACCTTTCTGTCCTGGTGAGTCAAGGCCCTTAACGTGTTCATGGCCTACGATAGCGGGTGCTCGCCCAAGCGCTGCATGCAGCATAGAGGCTGCCAACAAATAGTGATTCCTAAGGGTCAGCATCTTAATAGATATAATGTGGAAAGTCAGTAAATGTCAAGTTATTATTGTAGCTATTTTCTTCGGTAATTGTAATTGATTGTTGTGTTTGGTTAAATGGTAACAGCCGATGATTAGAGTTGTATTATAAACCCGTGTTTGTCACACAAAGGACCTGAGCCACAACCAGCTGACAGAGGTCCCGCGGGAGCTGGATAAAGCGCGCAACATGCTCGTCCTCAATCTAAGCCACAACAGGTATGGTATTACTCCACAACAAAAACGTAGGTGGCTGGTAATAATAGTTATCAACCACAGAAGTAAATAAACCATCTTCATTAACTCTGCCACATAACCAAAAATATTTATATTCTTGGTTCTTTCGGTAAAGTCACGTAGAAGGGAAACAAGAAAATAATAAAAATATAAAAAATAAAATTCTCACGATGTTTCGACTGCAACACAAGCAATCATAGTCAAATTTTCTTGCTGTGGTTTTCACACCTGATGATGATTGCTTGTGTTGCAGTCGAAACGTCGTGATAATTTTATTGTTTTATATTTTGTATTTTATTGTTTCCCTTCTACGTGACTTTACCAAAATAACCAAGAATATGAATCCCTGCAGTCACGAAAGCTTTAAATCAAAATTTAAAAAAATATTTAGTAGCATAACGTTTTCGGAAAAAGTGCTTCCATTGCAGAGATCAATTTAGAAGTACATTTCTCTGGCTATCCTCGCTTTCTCTATGCTCCCAATGATGAGTTATAGTAAATAAAAAAAATCCGTTTAAAATGCCTCAATGATTAACAAACGTGCTCGGTGTTCACACTGACACTAAAAAACAACAGTACTTTAAAATGTTTACAGTCATAGCTGGCATGGCTTATTATTATTATCATTGCTGCTCGATTTAAAGCTTTCGTGACTGCAGGGATTAATATTCTTGGTTCTTTCGGTAAAGTCACGTAGAAGGGAAATAATAAGAGAATAAAACAACAACCAAGAATATAATTGCCGCTGCCGTTGATGATTCATGGTTCTTGTAGTATTGGGCCGTCGCTGCACAGTCAGCTATTCATCAACATCACGGACCTCCTGTACCTGGACCTGAGCAACAACCGCCTGCAGAGTCTTCCCCCACAGATGCGGCGCCTCGTCCACCTGCAGACCCTCATCCTCAACAACAATCCGCTGCAGCACGCGCAGCTCCGGTGAGAGCCTCGCGTCTCGAGCACAATGCAATGTGTATTTATAGAATGTCTAGATGTTATACCGAACGGGGGGGGATCTGCGTCACAGGGAGAGGAAGCGTGTGCATTTTAAAATAAATTCAGTCATTTACCTGTCCAGTTCCTTATTCTGTGTTTATTTTTAGTACAATCATTGTCAACCCAACGTTTACATGTTCACATTTTCGATGATAGTGAAGGAGGCATTGCCACGTTAAGTCTAATATAGGAGAACGTTGGGTGTTTGGACTGATTTGCTTGGCATTTACAATTTTCCTTTTGCCGTTGGCTCGTCTTCCGATTTGGTTGAACGTGGGTCATGCAGGCAATTGCCTGCCTTGACGAAACTGCAGACTCTTCACTTGCGGAACACACAGCGATCTCCGAACAACATGCCCGCGTCGCTGGATGCACTAAGCCACCTAACAGGTTACTACTGCCTTGCTCTTGCATGCACATTGCTACCAATATAATCGCCATCATCATTGAAAACTGATTTTTGTGTTTATTTTGTTCTTCCCCCCGCACCTCCGATTAGCACGATTGGCTATGTACGGTGCTAAAGAAGTTCAACATACATACATACGTTATCTGGTTTCACAGACATACACTTTTTCCCCCGTTCTGTACAGTTATCGTTAATTATAATGACGCTTGTTTACCCAGCAAAGTCTCACTGAGTTTTCAGACTCTTGTCTTGGAAGAGTCCTGATGTTGGTCTGTGAAATTCCAGTTGAGTAATTTGCAGGTAACTTAGTTATATATGCGTAGGATTTCGCGACCAATATTATCCATAATACATTTTAAAAATAGGTTTAACAACACTTTATTATTGACGTGATCTAACCTAAAAAAACCTTTATTATGCAGCAATTATATATTACGGTTGTGAGTGCTAAAACGGTTACTTGATCTGCACGATGAGATCAACTTGAACAAATCTAGTTATTTCCATGTGAATCTCATAAGCCCCGTTGTTTCCATCGTCCAGATGTGGACCTGTCGTGTAACGACATGCCCAGCATCCCCGAGTGTCTGTACGCCCTGTCGACGCTCCGGCGTCTAAATCTGAGCGACAACCAGATCTCCGAGATGTCTCTCTGCATGGACCACTGGACCAACATGGAGACTCTCAACCTATCTCGGAATAAACTCACTATGTTGCCTGTAAGGACCGAACGCAAACACACGCACTGCATTGCAAATACATTAAAGAAGATTCGGCTGACAAAACAAATCTTTTTTTAAAATCTTGATTAAAAATTTATTTCTGGTTTAGGCCACGTAATGCTCTGACCAAATTTGTGTCATTAAATCCCTCCACCACCCGACACGGCAAAACAAATCAAATGTAACACGTGTACAAGCATTGAATACAACCGCTTATTATTGTTTAGGTTCAATTATTGTTTTTTCAGCTTAGTCGGTAAGGTGAAGAACCATTCTCGCAAACCAAATTTAGCGATTGTGAATATTGTTCTTCAACTTACCTGTCGGCTGAAATAATAATAATTGCTCGTTAGAGGTTTGTACTCGTGATAATTGGTTTGGCTGTGTTTGGTGGTGGAGCATCTTCACAACATAACTTCGGTCAAATCAGTACGTGGCCTAACACAAACATCAATTATGTATCATTATATTGGCTGCTAAAAATGTACGTATTAAGCTTTTGTCTTTAAGATATGTCGCTTGTTTTTGTGTTAAAACTTCCTTGAATTTCACTCCTGTGTCCTTCACATTGGTATACACTCCCTCCTTCCTTCTCGTGTGATCAGATGGCTGTGTGCAAGTTATCCAAACTCAGAAAACTCTTCATCAACTCCAACCGTCTTAACTTTGAGGGCATCCCATCCGGGATTGGCAAACTGCAAAACCTGGAGCAATTTAGTGCCGCCAATAACAGCCTGGAGCTTATCCCAGAAGGCCTCTGCAGGTGAGGCCTCCAAGAGAGAGATATTAACTGAAAATATGGAGATTTGTGAAATATCTGCAAATGCTTAATGATGATCCAACTTGCCAATGGGACTGTTTGAAATGGAAAGCTTTTTTTAAGATTCGACGATGAACGGAGATTGCATGTGGAAGAGGATGTCTTAGCTTTACCAACTTATTATAGAGTTTCAGCTTTCGTTCAGCATCATCAGCTCGCCTAATGAAGATTCAGGATGATCCTACAAAGTTATTGTTCCACTGTATGTGCTGGAAAATTGTCAATCGTTTTTGTTTTTAGGTGCAGAAAACTGAAGAAACTTATTTTGAATAAAAACTGCCTCGTCACGCTGCCTGAAACGGTCCACTTCTTACGTCTGCTTGAGGTATGATTGGGACACCAAATGCCTTTGTTCACTGCTGATTCTAAACTTGATGAGTGTAGTGTTAATTGGTGCTGATGCTGATGTTCACGAATCCGATCGCTAAACATATTTCGACAGGGCCCTGTACTTGTACACCGTTTCCTAAACAAGACGGCACATTTTGATTTAAAGCTTTCATGACTGCAGTAATTCATATTCTTAGTTTTTCCGGTAAAGTCACATTGAAGAGAAACAACAAAATAATAAAATATATATAAAACAATAAAAAAATTCTCACGACGTTTCGACCATAACTCGAACGGTCATCTTCAGGTGTGTTGGTTTGCATAAAAATAAATTTATGCAAACCAACACACATAAATTTATGCAAACCAACACACCTGAAGATGACCGTTTGAGTTATGGTCGAAACGTCGTGAGAATTTTTTTATTGTTTTATATATATTTTATTATTTTGTTGTTTCTCTTCAACGTGACTTTACCGAAAAAACTAAGAATATAAGACGGCACATGTTAGCAGACTCGCTTATTGGACTGGTTTTTCCCTGTTTTGCCATCACAGGTTCTGGATGTGAGGGACAACCCTGAGCTGGTGATGCCCCCTAAGCCAGTGGATCGTTCGGCCGAGTGGTACAACATTGACTTCTCGCTGCAGAACCAGCTCCGTCAGGCCGGGGCATCTGCCGCTGCCGTGGCTGCTGCTGCTGCTGGTGCGTGTTGAGGTCTCCTCTGTGCGTTGTTATCGACGTGCCCTTGCATCTTCGGTGCGTCCCGCGCAACGACGTGGGTGCACTGCCCGGTTATGAGAAAGAACACGTATTGGTGGAATTGCGAATGCCAGTCCATGTCCTTGACACCAGGATACACTGCAGAGTTGATTTGTCTACTGACCATTGAGTTGTCATCCATAATGTATGTACATATGTTGAACTTAATTTTCACTGTATGTAGCCAACCCTGCTAATCATAGATGCTGGGGAAGGACACTAAACTAAACACAAAGCAGTTCTAAAGAAATAATCTTTCAATCTAGATTTGAAAGTGCATAGCTCCAGTGGCTTCCTAATATCAGAAGGAAGAGCATTCCAGATGGCTTCGGAAGTGCATCTGAAAGCATGCGATGCAGTGACCATCTTTGTTCGATGGCCAGCCAAAAGCTTCAGTGGGCTCCGCTGGCAGGCAAGATTGTGCCGGGTGGGTCTTGTAGCTCGCATGCCCAGCCACTGCATGCTTAAGCAGCTTCTGTTTGTCTGAATAGTAGAGACTAAATGGATGCACCTCAGACTAGAGACCAGAATGGCTGATGTGGTACGAGAGGACCTGGAGCTGAGTGGACTTGCTGATGACTGGTACCAGTCGTATCCTCCTATTGAGAAGCCTCATCAAAGATGACACTGGTCAGTTGAAAGTAGCCTTCCTCCTGAAGCAATATGTGAAGCAAGCGGAGGCGTTCACAAACAAGCAGAGTGCCAGGCGGCTTAAAAAAACAGCAAGGTGGCACAGTGGCGAATGCAGCCGGTCCATCTGGCAGTCATTTCGGTTAACTCAATACCTGACTGTGTCCTGTGACCTCCTACCAGTGAGCCTTTTGATACTTCACGTAGCATCAAAGTACATATGGCCTGATACAGGTGGTGTGGTGGCGGCAAGTGGTGGTTATTGTTCGAAGTCTTTTCAGATGTGTGCAGATGTGCTTACATGTCCGTATAGCCATGGCGAATATGAACGCACATCTTTAGTGTCTGAACGTTTGGTATATCTGCTGTGCTTGCTTGTGTTTTATGTTTGTCTCTCTGAGTTGTGTTTGTGTGGAAGAATGGTATTCATGGGTCATTACTCCTGTCCGTCCAGGTTGTGAACTCAAATGCGATTTGAATTCAGAACATTTGCAAACTCAAGAATATCGAGAACTTGTTTAATATTTTTGCTCCTTAATATACTCTGAATAAGATTAAATGTTACCCTTGTATTAGCAGATGGGCTTGCTATGAGTGCAGCTTAAATTTGTCTCTTCAAGCGTCGTGGTCCAAATTTGCTGCGGGCAGGTTTAAAATAGTGCCTCATTCCATTTTAAAGTTTGTATGTGCAGCAGGGCGCGTTTGACAGCCTGTGCACACATATATAACGTTTATTAATATTTTGACACTGCCACGTTCAAGTGTTGAGTTGGGCTCAAGCCCATGAGCATTATACACCTCGAGAGTGAAAACCCCATGAATAAAGGGGGGGGGTAGGGGGTGGGGGGAGGCCTCACGACTGAGCGTGACCCCTTTCCCCACAATACCACAGTGCCCGGAGGGGGCAGCACCAAAGATGTGATAGCACGCAAGATGCGCCTCCGGAGGCCCCTGGACTCGACAGAGGAGGACCAGGCCAAGCAGGTGCTGCAGGGCATGACAGACGTGGCGCAGGAAAAGAGTCGCCGCATGGACGTGAGTGCCAGGGCCCGGGTGAAAGGTCACGGTTTGGGCGGGCGGGGGGGGGGGGGGCGGCACTGGGCCAAGGTTTTGCGGCACACTGTCACACGTCCAACGGTGCATCGAATTTAGCGTGAACTTGACACAGTCCATCTGCTCGCCGCTTTGACGTGCCGAAGTGAATGGGCTTATTTGGCTAGGAGGGCATTTACTTGCGTGGACTGAGATGAGGGGGATGCTGTCTTGAACCCGCGATCAGGGAAGCCACTTACTTTCTACCCACTTTGGCCGCAGTTACGGGGTAATCTCATTTCGCTATCGGAGATAACGAGGAGAGAGTATTCCCTTGGTTTCAGCAAGGGGGAGTCCCTGCTTCTTCTCGGATGTGGGCACTCTTCTGTAAAACTTTATATCATTTAGATAAGTGTAAGCTGGGATCTAGTCTGCTTTGTGGATATCACATAAATAAGCCATTGCCTTTGTGCTGTAATCAATACCTGGTGTCAGTTTTCATTTCTCACTCTCGGCTGCCCAAGTGTCAGTGAGCTTTGTCTATGACTTAACGTACCTTATAGCAACGTTCCATTCCAACTCGTTCCTAATACTGTTATGCCGGTAATGTTTCGGACACGGGCGTGTTTGCCAATCCATGCGTTTCCCCTCGCGCCTCATTGAGCGTTTCAAAGCACGATGTCTTCCCCGTGGTCTTTGGCCCCGGTTCTGTCGTCTCTGAAACTTCACGGCCCAGCTGGACGAGGCTCAAACGTCACGTTGTGTGAAATCGGCCGTTGAAGAAGCCGAACTGCTAAAAAGGAATAAATAAATAAAAATCCCTGCAAGAAGCGTGGTGTGCGCCTGAGTAACCGAGCCTTGTTTTCATGGCCAAGCCCGCAGCTACCTATGGAACGAAAATATCTTTTTTGTAACACGACCACTTGGCACTGCTCCCCCCTGCCTCCCCCCGGCCGCGGTGGGAATGGGAGGCAGTTAGAGTTACTTTAAGGGCTGCTACCAACGACAGCGCGCCATGCGACCTGCGACCATCGGGCAGACCATGCAGGCATCATAGGAGGTACGGTGGTGTGCATTTGTTTGCTTTCAGAAGAGACTGCCGTTATTTGGCGCGTGACGTTGAGTGAAGTTTTTTTTCGTGCGATTTCGCGCCTCTTACCGTAGTGGTGCTTGGTTAGGTAAGCCATACGGCAGCGAAATGTTGCGTGCTTTTTCTGGTAACTTTTCCGACCCCACAGATGTTTGACGCACAGGCAAAACGGGAATAGGGAAAGGCGGGTTTTGACGCTTTGCGTATTGGCAAGGCGATTAATCTTTTTCGTATTGGAAACTATCGTTAGTTCGTCTTTACTGTTGGATGAGAATGGTTCGATATCAATCCTGAAATGCACCACTTCTTGGCGATGTACAGTGAGTGCCGTGTCCCATTTGTATAGGAATAGGGAAATCCACATGGGGGTTGAAGGCGGTAATGTTACAACGTTGATGTTTTACTGGCCATTCTTGCGTCGTATGGAAATAGCAACATTCACAAGGGTAGATCGAGTTTGGGTAACCAGTCAAGAGCATCATCCTGCGTAACCTGCATCTTGGGTTACATTTATACCCCAGGTCTCCATCGTGTTGACGCTACGCGCGCTGCTGTTGTCGTACGTGTGTCGTATGTGCTTTCTCCGTGTGTTGTCACGGTCGTATGCTCTTTTTATTATGCGTCACACACACGGTTTATTGTACATCTTATATAAGGTACAAGGTCGCACATCCGACTCTCTGGGTACTGAGGTATAGGCAGCTGTGTGAAATGGTTAGATATGTGAATATCTTTACAACCGTAAAATGACAGTTACACAATGTACAAACATGGGGAAATTCTTTACAGTACATGGGAGGTCATCCAATGTTCTCGAGGTTAAGAATACATTACCGTGTCAAAAGGTACCGTGTACAAATACTGCACCGGCTGTGGGAGGGTCATTGGCCGGGGTAGAAATGTGACGGTCGGACATGTGACATTCTACTGTACGTTCTTTGTGCACACTTTACACAACAGTCCCGATCCAACACATCGGTGCCAACCAATTAACATTCGTGACTCTTGTAAGCTCGTGCTGCGCTAGAGATTCGTCGTCCCATTTGTTGTGCCGACCGTAATTGGTTATTGCTGAAACGTTATCTCCGTGACGTGACCCAGTGCCAGCGCGCTCTTCGCTTGTTGCAGAGGTGTCGCGGTTTCAATGTGGCAGGTCGCCCTGGTAAATAACCGTAGAAATACGGGTCGGCTACCTCACAGGTGGATATCAAAGATCCTGTGATACCATGCGAAAAGAGAGTAGGCCATTGCGTCTTCACACACCTGATAGGCTTACGGTACTGACATCATATTTACTCGAAAATAAAGACCAAAACAGGACTTCTTCACAATTATGGCGTTCGCCTGACGCAGCTCGTTGTAATCACTAGCGAAACGTCGTTCTCGAATTAGCGAATGTTGTGGATGTACTCTCCAACACACCGATGTGCTGAAGTTGTAACTAATTGGCACGTTTTGTTTACTTGACAAACATTACAAATTGGCTGTGTTGGGTGGTGGCGGGTTTAACGACACATTTATATTCACGTGATCTGACCCAAAAAAAAAAAAACCCTCATGCATCGTGAGCCAGCATCATGATCCAAGTTAAAAAAACGATGAGAAAATTACCCAAATGGGATTACAAATAGCAACATCCCCCCCCCCCCCCCCCACTACTGCGAAACATAGCTAGTGCCTTCCTGATTATCCCCTGTGCGCTCGTAAGGCGTACCGCGACAATGTCACACACGCAAGCACCCGAACATTTATCGTCAAAGACAGGCTGACGAGAGGACGGTCGCTACTGTGTCTCTGCTGTGGAGCGCAGCAGGAGATGGGCGAGCTGGGTTGCTCGGACCTGAAGGCGCGGCGATGGGACGAGGGGCTGGAGAAGCCGCAGATCGACTACTCCAACCTCTTCGTCGAGGGCGTGGGCGGCCGTCCCGGTGTGGAAATGTGGCAGATCGACAACTTTTACCCGACGCCCGTGGACGACAACATGCACGGGAAGTTCTACGAGGCCGACTGCTACATTGTGCTCAAGGTGAGTGGCGGCAGGCAGCCTGCTCCTCTGTGGTCCCATCGGTATCATCTGCACATCTCAGTGGCAGTTTGGACAAAGGGGAGGCCCTGTAGCTAAGAAAAAGGGATTGTTTTTTGGAATTGAGTGTACAAGGGAATGGGGTGGGGGGGGAGGCGTTGGAGCGGCGGTGTTGCAAGCTAGCGTGTACCGCGCTACGATCCCGGCGTCCTGGGGTTCGATTCCCGGCCACGGCTAATGTTAGTCTGTCGAGAGAGATATTTGACCTTATTGTGACTCCCTTCCTACCACCCCATCACCAACCAACCTGCATTAACAAACAACGCCACTGTTTCATGCGAGGTTGACATACAACCCCATGATCGACGTAGCATTGAGGGGGATACCTTCAGTAGTGGATTTGACAAAGTGCTGGAAATAACTGTAAATGTTTAGGTTTATCAATTAAACTACCACACAACGATATAGTCCTGCATAACATGACTGCTTTTGGAACTGCTTTTTGTGTTTAGTTTGTTGTTATTTCCCCCGCACCTCTGATTAGCACGGTTGTCTACGTATGGCGCAAAAGAAGTTCAACATACACGCGTAAAACATCTCGCTGAGTCTTTACGGCAAACTCCCGCTTTAGCACTGGCATGCAGTGTTTTGAAAGGCAAGAAGCCGATCAATCTGCTGTCGTGGTAGAAAGCATCCCAGGAAGCCAGCATGCAAACCAGCCTCCAGGAAAGCCTTGCACTTCAGTCGTCTTCTTTTGCGCGGCTGATGTAGATGCGGAGCAACAACTTCAATTTCACATTCAGGTGGGCAAGCTCGACAACCGCAGCCGGAGCAGCGGAGTGTATCGCCGCGATGTCTCATTGGTATTTGTGGAATCGGGCATTGCGTATGGTATGGTATGTTCTGGATTGACCACAGTCGCGCACTGGAGAGGTTTTTTTTTTAATTTAACGATGACAGAGAGAAGAGAGAGCGGGGGGGGGGGGAGTGGGGCGAGTCAGTCGGTTGGACGTGGTGGGTGGCGAGAAATGCCGCGAGGCTTTTTGAATGGCCGAGTCGACGTCTGCCGCAGACGTTCTCGTCGCGCGAGGTGTCGGACCAGGCGTGGCAGATCTTCTACTGGATCGGCGGCGAGTGCACGCTCGACAAGAAGGCGTGCGCCGCCATCCACGCCGTCAACCTGCGCAACTTCCTCGGCGCCAAGTGCCGCACGCTGCGCGAGGAGATGGGCGAAGAGAGCCCCGAATTCTGCACCGTACGTCCGCGTGCCCTCTCGACGTTTCGCTTCGCCGTCGCGTTGCCGCCTCGCGCGGGGCCGCGGGGCAAAGGCGTGGAAGCGCCCGCATGCAAAATTCATTTAACAGGGGAGGTGTGGTCCCCCACAGGGCCTTCAGAACCAAACCCATGCCCTAGCAACCCTGCAGGCCCTCCAGACTGCTGTCCGTATACTTGTATATAGGGCACGGATTGAAGATAACAAATTACATTCATTTATCCCTGAGTATTCTTAGTTTTTTCGGTAAAGTCACGTTGAAGAGAAACAACAAAATAATAAAATATATATTTTGTTGTTTAAAATATATATTTTGTTGTTTCTCTTCAACGTGACTTTACCGAAAAAACTAAGAATATGAATTACTGCAGTCACGAAAGCTTTAAATCAAAATTTTATCCCTGAGTGTTGAGACTTTTTTTTCCAGGAGGGTTTTGCATTGGTTTGGTCGGCAACTACCGTCAATGATACTTTCGCATGTGGTAGGAAACCAGAGTACGCAGGGAAATCCATTAATTAATGAATTCATTCGAGGGGTCACGTTTAAAGCTCTGCACAAATGCATTTAGTCCGTTGCTGAATTTGGAACTCCAGCCGTCCTCGCAGACCAAGCCCTAAAACGCCTGCCATTTCCCAGGCAGTCAACCATCCAATTACTAACCAAATGGAAAACTCTGCTTAGCTTATTATGTCTGATGAGAGCTGGTGTATGCAGGGTGAATTTATTTGCAAGCTCAAAGGCAGCAACTGTCCTAAAGATTAACTGAACTGAGTGTACTTTTGTATTTCTGTCCACGTGCTAATTGAGTGGGAATGGACAGATTATAAATAGCCAGAGCGATGCATGCACACGGAATTCCACGTGGAAATTATCTGTAATTGTTTTCCCTTGGCTCTGCTGTTGATATTCGCGTGGTCCAACCATTTCCAACAGTCTATAATGTTACAGTCATCATCGTCGTCATCAGTGATGATCAATCCACTGCTGGATGAAGGCCTCACCAGTAAAAATGCACCTTGCACCAGCACACAAATTATATTTCATCAAAGATCATTGGGAACTGAATCGTGAGAAATGCAGAGTCCAACCAACCACGTGAATAAGTGGAGTTTAATAAAGGTTTTTTTTTTTTTCCTGGCCATCGTCCGCATACAATCAGTCAGTCGGACTTCGGAAAAGAGGACTGCCTATTGGAGTACGTGCCTTTATAACATGGTACATAAAGACAGCCTATTTTATCGTGTTTTTTTGCTTGTTTTCCTTTGAAGGTGTTTGACAACAAGCTGGCTTACATCGAGGGGGGCAGCCCCAGTGGCTTCTTCACGGTGGAAGAGACCGTCTATGTGACCCGGTACTGAGCCGAATTATTTCTCAAACGAATGAATATAGTGCCATTCACAATGATACAATTGTCACATCATAGCTGTATTACTTCTTCACTGCCTACATTGTTTTGTTTTCATTTTGGATTTTTTAAATTTACATTTGGATGCTGAATTTAACACTTTCCAAACAAGATTGAAAACGTAAATTAATTTAGCTCTGCCCGTCTGTGTCCGTCCATAGATTAGGGTCAGCACGGTAACACTTGCAAAGATTAATTATCCAACAGTAACTAAATGCTTTATATAAAGATGTGTTGCTATTAGTGACATAACCTCGAGAGAATTTGCCAAATTGGTCAAAAGGCTGCCCAAAACTTGATTAATACCAGCACTGAAAATCCGTGGCGGCCAAGGACGTGACGTCATTAGTGTGACGTCATCTCTCTACGGCACAAGTCATCTGCACAACCCCCCACTCCCCGATGATGTCATCACGTGTGACTGCAGAAAATAAAAGCATCGTTTGTGCACCGCGTGCGCAGCATGTACCGCTGTTACGGAAAGAAGAACATCAAGCTGGAGCCAGTTCCTTTGACGGGAAGCTGCCTAGACCCAAGGTGAGGTGCACTGTGGGAGCCACACTACGCTTGAGTGCCCTGGCAAATTCCGCAGCAAATGCAGTTATAACAGCATAAGGCAGGTACGCAATAATAAAATGTTATTTTTATTTTTTTAGCAATGTGAAGCCTTGAGGTTGTCATTTATCCTACGTCCTTGTTCTCTTCGCACATATCCTTTCTCAATGTCCTCCCCACTGTTCTCATCTCCAAACTGCAGACAATTCAAATGCTGCTGCCAGGCTCCTGATCCCCTGATGGAAATGAAGCCACATCACCCCAATGCTTCAATCCCTCCACTGGCTCTTAAACCAATCCCGGCTCCATTTCTAGGTCGCATACACGGTCCACAAGATCCTCCATGGACTTTCCCCTGCCTACCTCTCACCTCTCATCTCAGTCTACTCCCCTCCACGCACTCTCCTACCTCTCATCTCACTTTACTCCCGTCCACGCACTCTCCTACCTCTCCCCTCTCATCTCACTCTACTCCCCTCCACGCACTGTCCTACCTCTCCCCTCTCATCTCACTCCCATCCACACACTCTCCTACCTCTCCCCTCTCATCTCACTCCGCCAACCAAGGCTTTCTGTCGAAGCCCACAGGCCACATTTACCCAATGGGAGGTTGCTCATTTTCCTTTGCTGTGCCCACAGTCTGAAACTGCCTTCCCAGCCATTCCCAACCGTCCTATAAACTCTCCCTGCCCTTATTTTAAGTCCAGCCTCACACGTTCATTTTTTCCTCTGCCTATAAATCACTGCCTCTGTCGGAAAAGTAATACAATAATTATGTTTCCGTATAGTGTTTTGAGATGCAGGGGTATTTCAGTCACCCATGAGACATGATTCATTCTGGTCGAAGTAAGATGTTGTACGCGAGTAGGCTTTGTGAATCCGTAGTCGTGTACATTTTACAAAGAGCGATATGTATAATTACACAAAAATTGTAACCCTCTTGCCCTGCCATAGGTTTGTGTTTATGCTGGATAAAGGACTCACGATTTACATCTGGAAGGGACTGTACGCCAAACTTGGAGCCAAAACTAAGGCCAGGTAATCGAGGCTTATTCAGTTAATGTTTGAAACAATTATCATTAAAAATATATATGTGTTTTACAGAGACAGCAAATGACCAAGTGCTTGTGCCTACTGTTAGGCTTTTTGCAGAGAAGATCAACAAAAACGAGCGCAAAGGACACGCGGCGATCGAAGTTCTGGTGCAGAACCATGAACCGGCTGAGTTTTGGGACATCCTGGGAGGGCAGCCCGAAGAGATCAAGTGCCATGTGCCCAAGGACTTTAGCCCTCCGCGGCCAAAACTTTACAAGGTGAACCCTTGGCACTCTGGCCTGTGAGGGGCCACCACCACCACACTCACGGAGAGACCTTGGCACAGCGGTGATCGATGCGTCATGTGCGCATGTGCGTGCGCGTGTGTGTGTGCGCGTGTGTATGTGTGTGTGCACGTAGGTGGGGAGAGGTAGTGTAGCGGTTAGCCCGCTGCCCTATGAACCCGGCGACCCGAGTTCGATTCCCGCTCAATGCCAACACCAGTGATGATTATCTTAACTGGTCCTGGGCCTCCTCTAGGTTGACTCAGCCTCAAATCAATACCTGGTGTTGTGTGTAAATATTGCCTCGTCTGCCGTGCGGCGTTCATAGGTGCTCACTAACAGCACTTTGTCTATGTCTTTGCGTATAGGTGGGGTTAGGACTTGGATACCTGGAGCTTCCGCAGGTGAACTACCGCTTGTCGGTGGAACACGCCGACACCAAACTCACCAGAGATCTGGTGCCAGATCAAAGGCTGGTAAGTGTACGGTTAGAACGGCGACTTATGTTCAAGTGAAGCTTCGGTTTTAAGACGCGGGGTTTGATGATATGCATGTGTGTATGTGACTGCCAAGTCTGCCAGTACGGGGCAGCGTTGCGATGTAGTTCTTTTTCTTTCTCCAAATTAAATAACTTGAAAGTAATTTGTAACATTTGGTAAGTTTGGACTGTGATGCCAGCACACATGGCCTACTTTCTTTTCGAAGAGCGTCACGGGGTCTTTGACGTCCGCTGTGAAGCAGACGGCGCGTGTTTTCTGGTCAATACTCCTGCAGTATTAGCCAGGGCAGCCACTGGGCTCGAACCGTGAACCTTTGCAACAAGTGGCCAATACTCGACCAGAATCATAATCTTTATTTAGACTGGAGGAGGAATCCGATGAGCTATGAAGCTCTTTTTCACAGATGTCCCAGTATGGGCGCGGGTCAGCGAGTTACAGCAGCAGAAAATACAAAGACACTTTAAGGAGCGCGAAATAGAGAAATAAGTAAGGAAGTCCCTAAATGTAAATAAATAATCGATACATTTATTATGTAAATCATATTTATCACACAAAAAAACTAAAAGTACTTTTACATTACCGGGTAAGGCCCACTGAGCTATCAAGCTTAGGGCAAAGCAGAAAAAACTACAACAATAAAACAGTCCAAGACAACACCAACACAGTCCCTCAATAAATTACCACATTAAGTTTGAACCGTGGGCGCAAGTTCACGCTCTCTCTCTCTGGAGAGACGTAAACGGAAGTGAACCCTGAGCGGAGGCCGGTTCCCCGTGCACGCAGGTGCAGAGCCTGCTGGACACTCACGGCGTCTACATCCTGGACTGCGCGTCCGACGTGTTCGTGTGGATCGGACGGCGCTCCCCGCGCCTGGTGCGTGCTGCGGCCGGCAAGCTGGCGCAGGAGCTGTGCAGCCTCGTACAGCGGCCTGCACACGCGGTGGTGACGCGCAGCCTGGAGAGCACGGAGACGCAGGTACGGGGGGGTGGGGGGGGCCTGCTCGCCCGTCGCAGGCAGCTACGTTGCTATCGCGCATCGCCGTCATGCGTCGCTACATAGCTATAATGCTTTGCAACGTCACTCATGTGCATCGCTGTCACGCAACTTTTTCACGCATCTCTATCACGCACCTCTCACGTATCACGAGCAAGCATTGCTACATCACTAACATGCATCGCGATCATGCATCACTAAATCCCTGCCGTGCGTCGCTACGTCACTATCACGCATCGTCATGCATTGCTACATCACTATGTAACTACATCGCTATGTAGCAATGCTCTATGCCCTATGCAGGACGCCGCGGTGGCGAGTTAACTCCCTCGCCTGGTATGCAGGAGGTCGATCAAGACCCTGACGCCTGTATATTTGGAGTTTGCATGTTCTCCACGTGGTCGTGTGGATTTTTCTCCAGGTCCTCCGGTGTTTCCCTCCACATTTAGAAACATGAGTTGAGAGTATTTGGCTGCTATACATGTATACATGATAAGCCACTTCATTGGGCTATCATTTGTGGCCAGGTCGCTTAAAAAAGGAGCTATATAGCTCAGTGGGCCTTACCTGGTAAAAAATTTTTGTTTTAATTCTAGTTTTATCTGTCATGCATCGCTACATCATGCATCGCTATCATGTATTCATGTAACACGAGCATGCGATGTAGCTTGATAGCTTTGGCCTGCATCGTAGAACATAGTGGCAACCTCATAAACCCAGACACGCGCATAAAATGTGTTGGACTCTCAAATGACCAATTTCAGTTTCAGAGGACTGAGTCGATACCTACACAGACCACCTGCATTCAATCCTTGGTTTCCGACTTTAAGAACAGCAGGTTAACCCATCTCGACCCGGCCACCAAAGCCATATTGAAATGAATTACAGTTCTACGAAGCATAATAAAGCAAGGGCACTTGCTTGAATATCATTGGTCATCTTTGCAGCGGCTTTTGGCTAGCTATCGAACAAAGACGGCAAATTCATCACGCGCTTTTAGATATGCTTCTGCGGCCGTCTGAAACGCTCTTCCGATATTAGAACTACTTTTTGTGTTTAGTTCGTTCTCCTTCCCGCGGTTGGCTACGTACGGTGCGAAAGAAGTTCAACATACGTAGCGGCCGTGACACCCGCGTATCGACGTGTGAGATGCTCGACTTGTACGGCACGCGCTTGTGAAATAAACAGACAACACTCTTGACTGGGTTTTTTTTTTGTTTGCCCCGCAGGTGTTCAAGTCAAAGTTCAAGAACTGGGACGACGTGCTGAAGGTGGACTACACGCAGAGCGCCGAGAGCATGAGGCGCGTCGAGGCCCCCACACCAACGTTGACCACGACAACGGCGGCCGGCGACGAGGTGGACACCGCCGACCCCAAGAAGGAGAAGCAGATGAAGGCCGACCTCTCCGCTCTCTTCCTGCCCCGCCAGGCGCCCATGCCTTTCACCGAGGTCAAGCAGCTCCCAGGCTCACCGGCCCTCTTCTCGCTCGCTCACTCGCTCACTCTCACTCGCTCGCTCACTCTCGCTCACTCACTCACTCTCGCTCACTCACTCACTCACTCACTCTATCTCTCTCTCTCTCTCACACTCACTCTCTCGCTCCCTCTCACTCACTCTATCTCTCCCTCACTCTCTCACTCACTCTATTTTTCTCACTCACTCTATTTTTCTCACTCACTCTCGCTCACTCACTCACTCACTCTCTCACTCACACTCACTCTCTCGCTCCCTCTCACTCAATCTCTCACTCACTCTCGCTCTCTCACTCACTCACTCTTTCACTCACTCTATTTTTCTCACTCTCGCTCACTCACTCTATCTCTGTCTCTCACTCACACTCTCTCGCTCCCTCTCACTCACTCTCTCACTCACTCTCGTGCTCTCATTCACTCTCTCACTCACCCTCTCTATTGCTCTCGCTCACTCTCGCTCACTCACTCTCTCACTCACTCTGTCACTCACTCTCTCACTCTATTTTTCTCACTCACTCTCGCTCACTCACTCTCTCACTCAGTCTCTCTCTCACTCACTCTTTCACTCACTCTCTCGCTCTCACTCAATCTCTCTCACTCACTGTCTCTATCACCCTCACTCACACACTCACTCTCTGGCTCTTACTCGCTCTCACTCACACTCACACTCGCTCACTCTCTCTATCACTCTCTCACTCACTCTCTCACTCACTCTCTCTATCGCTCTCACTCTCTCACTCACTCTTACTCTCTTTCACTCAATCTCTCTCTTTCTCGTACAACATGTCGCAATATCGCCAGATCGTCGCGAACCTGGTTGTAACCATGCGATGCCGCTTTCACTGCGGACGCCATCCCTCCCCCCCCAGGCCGAGCAGCTGATGGAGGAGTGGGGAGATGACCTGGATGGCATGGAGGCCTTCGTACTGGAGGGAAAGAAGTTTGTGCGTCTCCCCGAAGATGAACTGGGCCACTTCTACACACACGACTGCTACGTCTTCCTATGCCGGTGACCACGCCATCGCCATCTGATCTCTGTTCTCACCCAGCTGGCCCTGTGGTCACCCAGCTAGCAATGTTCTCACCCAGCTGGCCCTGTTATTACCCAGCTAGCAATGTTATTACCCAGCTAGCAATGTTATTACCCAGCTAGCATTGTTATTACCCAGCTAGCAATGTTATTACCCAGCTAGCAATGTTATTACCCAGCTAGCAATGTGATTACCCAGCTAGCAATGTTATTACCCAGCTAGCATTGTTATTACCCAGCTAGCATTGTTATTACCCAGCTAGCAATGTGATTACCCAGCTAGCAATGTGATTACCCAGCTAGCAATGTGATTACCCAGCTAGCAATGTGATTACCCAGCTAGCAATGTGATTACCCAGCTAGCAATGTGATTACCCAGCTAGCAATGTTCTCACCCAGCTGGCCCTGTTATTACCCAGCTAGCATTGTTATTACCCAGCTAGCAATGTGATTACCCAGCTAGCAATGTGATTACCCATCTCGCAATGTTATTACCCAGCTAGCAATATGATTACCCAGCTAGCAATGTTATTACCCAGCGAGCAATGTTAATACCCAGCTAGCATTGTTATTACCCAGCTAGCATTGTTATTACCCAGCTAGCAATGTTATTACCCAGCTAGCATTGTTCTCACCCAGCTGGCCCTGTTATTACCCAGCTAGCAATGTTATTACCCAGCTAGCAATGTTATTACCCAGCTAGCAATGTTATTACCCTGCTAGCAATGTGATTACCCAGCTAGCAATGTTATTACCCAGCGAGCAATGTTATTACCCAGCTAGCATTGTTATTACCCAGCTAGCATTGTTATTACCCAGCTAGCAATGTTATTACCCAGCTAGCAATGTTATTACCCAGCTAGCAATGTGATTACCCAGCTAGCAATACGATTACCCAGCTAGAAATGGTATTACCCAGCTAGCATTGTTATTACCCAGCTAGCAATGTGATTACCCAGCTAGCAATGTTATTACCCAGCTAGCAATGTTATTACCCATTAAGCAATGTTATTAGCCAGCTAGCAATGTTATTACCCAGCTAGCAATGTTATTACCCAGCTAGCAATGTTATTACCCAGCTCGCATTGTTATTACCCAGCTAGCATTGTTATTACCCAGCTAGCAATGTTATTACCCAGCTAGCAATGTGATTACCCAGCTAGCAATGTGATTACCCAGCTAGCAATACGATTACCCAGCTAGAAATGGTATTACCCAGCTAGCATTGTTATTACCCAGCTAGCAATGTGATTACCCAGCTAGCAATGTTATTACCCAGCTAGCAATGTTATTACCCATTAAGCAATGTTATTAGCCAGCTAGCAATGTTATTACCCAGCTAGCAATGTTATTACCCAGCTAGCAATGTTATTACCCAGCTCGCATTGTTATTACCCAGCGAGCAATGTTATTACCCAGCTAGCAATGTGATTACCCAGCTAGCAATGCGATTACCCAGCTAGAAATGCGATTACCCAGCTAGCAATGTGATTACCCAGCTAGCATTGTTATTACCCAGCTAGCAATGTTATTACCCAGCTAGCAATGTGATTACCCAGCTAGCAATGTGATTACCCAGCTAGCAATGCGATTACCCAGCTAGAAATGCGATTACCCAGCTAGCAATGTGATTACCCAGCTAGCAATGTTATTACCCAACTGGCCCTGTGATCACCCAACTCGCAATGTTATTACTCAGCTAGCAATGTGATTACCCAGCTAGCAATGGTATTACCCAGCTAGCAATGTTATTACCCAGCTAGCAATGTTATTACCCAGCTAGCAATGTGGTGACCCAGCTAGCAATGTTATTACCCAGCTAGCAATGTGGTGACCCAGCTAGCAATGTTATTACCCAACTGGCCCTGTGATCACCCAGCTAGCGAAGGTGCACACTGTACTATGCACCTGGTGAACCGGCCCTGTTGCCCCCTCTTTCATCAACCCGCTTTGACCAGCGTGGTGAAGAATAGTTAAACAAACCCCCATGACCAACAACGTGGCACGGGGGGGGGAGGCTTTCATCCGACAGTGGATCGACAAAAGTATTCAGTCATTCTTGCTATCAGTACCTGGTGATAACTGAAGATATTCCCTCGTTTGCCCCCCCTCCCCCTCCCACCACCGCTCAATTTGACAGGTACTGGATGCCCGTTGAGTACGAAAACACGGCAGAGGAAGGAGGCGAGGCCGGGGTTGCAGGGGAGGCCGGGGCGGGCGCGGCTGACGCAGGGGGGGAGGCCGGTGAGACCGTGGAGCCCAGTGGGGCTCGGCCGGAGAAGTCGTCGTTAGCGGCGGCCACAGGCGTGGAGGAGGACATGCAGTGCGTGGTGTACTTCTGGCAGGGCCACGATGCCTCAAACATGGGCTGGCTCACCTTCACGTTCAGCCTGCAGAAGAAGTTTGAGAGCCTGTTCCCCGGCAAGCTCGAGGTGGGGGGGGTGGCTGACATCTGCACCGGAGATTTCAGCTCGAGATTGCCTTCGATGTGATGGTCATCATCATCATCACCACGAACATCTTCAAAGCTGTGTGCTAATGCGTCGCGTGAGTGACGCTTTGCGCGCGCCTGTGCAGGTAGTGCGGATGACGCAGCAGCAGGAGAACCCCAAGTTCCTGTCGCACTTCAAGAGGAAGTTTCTGATTCACCGGGGCCACAGGAAGTTCACGGATAACGACGCGCAGCCGAGTCTGTACCACGTGCGCAGCAACGGCAGCGCGCTGTGCACACGGTAGGAGCTCAGCGCCCAGCTTCATGCAACTCCCCCCCCCTCCACCACCTTGCCGCCCTGTTTTTCCGCTGCCACTGCATTCACGACTAGAACGTCGGCCCTGCTTTATGGCCGTTTTGCTCCTTGGAATTGACCGTATTTTCCAAATTATAATGCACTCCGGACGTGTAGGACACACCAACCGATTCCCTTTGGGGTTAATGTTGAAAAAGAAAAAGTGCTTTATGATCGGGAGAATACGTTGTTACGGAGAGACATCGTTCAGATGATGATCACGCATGCTCTGCTTTAAAATGGGCAGAGATGTCTTCCGGAAGATAATTCTGAAAGCCTGGTTAGTCGTGCTCTTCTCTACCCCATGGGTGCTAATGTATTGCTACGGAGTCTAACCATCTTGCGGAAGATGATAATTGCGAACGCGATCAGAGTAGAACCCCTCTTAACGACGGTAATTGGTCCCACGAAACCAGTCGTTAAGTGATTTGGTCGTTAAGCAAGCATAGGAAATACACGTTGAAGGCTTAATTCGTTCCGATAGCATCAAAAGTTTACCTTTTTCACACAAAAAACGCACTTTATAATTTTTAAACAATCGATATGAATACATAAACATATCAACAACATTATAAACACATAATATTAAAATAAACATAGTTAAGCAATTCATTTATTAATATTTACTGTACATACAGCAGCCTGTCCGTTAACAGGGAAATGGTCGGTAAGGGGCTCTATGGAGGCTTGTCGTTAAGTGAATTGTTAACAGGGGTGGTCTACTCTACATTATACACTATACTATATACTACATTACTCTACACTACACTATACACTACATTATACACTACTATACACTACACAACTATACACTATACCATACACTCCACATTGGGCTCTATGGAGGCCCATCATTAAGCAGTTATTCTTAGACAGGGGTGGTCGTTAAGAGGGGCTCTACTGTAAAACGCATATGATGCAGGCTGACGACGTATATTCTCCGGATAGTAAGACTGAACCCCCCCCCCCAAGACTTTTGCTTTCAAATACCGGTGGGGGGGGGGGTGGAATTGCAACTTCTAATCGAGAGAATACGCTGGCAACCTCCCTGCGGTACGATTGCACTCGAGACCTCGTGCTCGCACGGCGAATGCCTCGGCACTCTGAGCGGTCCTCGCGACGATGCCTTCTAATGTACGCAACCAATGAGGGGGGGGGGGGGGGGGGGGGGCTATGGTGAGTTAGCGGTGGGGCGGTGGGGGGGGCAACCATCTAGGCCACACTGACATTTGGTCTGAATTTTACGTATTGTGAAAGTATACTCTACGGACAGCCTATGGCTTCTTGTCACCACACTTTATGTACGAAATACACATTTCGTACGTTCGTATGCTTTCACGCGAATCTGGTTGCGAGGATTGTTCCCCACCTCACCCGGTGAGTGAGCCAAAACATTAACGATTTGGCGCGTTAAACGCTTACACGCCGTGGAGATTTAATTCGGCTGCGTCAGATGGTGGAGGGGTCTTACCAACACGAATTTGGTCAAGACCATTCATTACGTGGGCGAGCTCGCGCAAACGTCAATCATGAATTATATTCCACACGCAGTTTTCGCGATACGGCAGTCTGCCCTTGTCATTCTCCTGGTGCCTCATGCTACGGCTGACGGTGGTGACTTCCTATAACCTCCGGATGGGAATTGTAATTTCTTCTCTCCTTACATCAGTTTGCTCCGTCTTGCATTCTCGCCGCCCCTCCCCTGTCTTTTGCTTGCCTTCGGTGCTGCCTTGTGTCTTGGCCGTCTGACCGGTCACTGCCCGCGCGTCTCTCTCTGCCCCGCGATCCGGACCCATCCCCTCTGCCTGTGCAGGTGCATTCAGATTAATACTGATGCTGCCTTTCTCAACTCTGAATTCTGTTACATTCTCAAGGTACTGTACTGCCTCTACGCCTTACCTGCACTCTCGACTTTCTGTGCCCGGTCTCATTTCAGCACTGCCTGTTTTCTGCACCGATTGGAGAAGAAAATTACAAGGCGCAGTATAACGGCGGATTAATTACCAACATCAACCTACGTTTGGCTGTAAATAATCGTAATATATGACACTGATAATACTTGCGTTCATACTGCGCCCGTAACGTAACAAAACGTCTTCGAGCACATTGTGTTTGGCCTTGGGGACCACCGTCGTGGTCGCTGCCCACCACCCACATTCTCATTGGCTGCTGACATTTGGGCTACGCCCATTTCACACCTTTATAAAGAGTTTGCCTTGGAAGCTAAACCCCCCTTTTCCTGATGACGACCGCTCATGTTGCGATCGAAACGTCGTAGTTTTTTAGTCATTTTCTTTGAGCCTATCTACGTGACTTTACCGAAAGACCCAAAGAATATGAATTCCTGCAGTCACGGAAAGCTTTAAGTCAAGATTTTGCTGTTGGTTGTTCAAAATTTTTGCCAGTAACTTTTTTTATATTCGCACCACGACGCCGAAACAATGATGGCCTTACCCTTTTTCAAACAATATCACGGGATCTTTTAACATCCACCGGGGAAGAGGCAGCTGTGTGTGTTGTGTTGTTCATACAGCCCCAGTATTAACCAGGGAGCGCCGCTGAGCTCGAACCGCGAACCTCGGCAACAATCGGGAAAGGCGCCGCCATTATAGGCAGCACTGCGGCAACATCCATTGTGGTTCTGTACTCCTGCCCCCCCCCCCACCACCTTCACCACAATGTGCACTGGACCACCGTGGTGAAGTATGGTCAAATATCACGAGGGCAGCCGTCGTCCCTGACAAAATGGGCCGTACGTGTACGTCGGGTTGTGAAAGCAGCTTCGAACGTTGCCCCGGTCAGCGGCGGCGTTTTTGGCTGGGGCTGACCCCTCCGCTGCGCTGCGTCCGCTGTGCAGGTGCCGTTTGGCAGCGAGGACGGCCCAGGGATGGTCTACGCATGGGTGGGGCGGGGGGCCGCGCCGGACGAGGCTCGGCTCACGGAGGAGATCATGGGCAGCATGTTCCACGCCTCCTACAGCAAGCAGGTCTGCGAGCACACACACACACACAAAAACCTTAACTGACTTTTTGGGCAAGTGCTGTTCGCGAGCGCCTATGAAGGCCGGCACGGCACACAAGGGGGTGGGTGGCCAGCATCACGCATGGCCGCTTTTGTTTCCCTAGTGGCGATGTTTACACATCACACCAGGTACTCATTTGAGGCCGAGTCGACCTAGGGGAGGCCCAGGACCGGTTAAAAGATTCACCGCTGATATTGGCCGTGAACGGGACTCGAACTCGGGTTGCCGGGTTTGTAGCACAGCGCGCTCACCGCTTGGCCACACAATGATCTGAACGCTTGTGTCGTGAAGACCCTCACAAGCGGGGGTGACAGTATTACTTGTAGAAACGATTGAAGGTGGAGGGCAAAATTAAACTGCACCATAGTTATCAAATACGATCAGGGTGAGGGTACGGAGAAAATCAATTTCGCAGAAGGAGAGGAATAATAGGAAGCTTTAAAATCATGAGTTTGAACAGAGGGACCGGTTACCTCCGCGGAATGCAGGTGATCAACGAGGGAGAGGAGCCGGAAAACTTCTTCTGGGTGGGGATTGGCGGTCGGAAGCCATACGACCAAGACGCCGCTTACATGCGCACGGCACGTCTATTCAGGTGCGGTGCTGCTGCTGCTGCTGCTGCTGCCCCTCCAGCGTGCACACTCCCTTCACTCGCACGTTCAGGTGCGGTGCCTGGCTCCTTTCACTCAGACACCTGCGTACTGCTACCTGCTGTGTGTATCCTTCCCTTTTTACAAGTTGCCTCCTATCTTATTCTCTAACCTCTGCGGAGAATGTTGCTCGCACCAGGCAGCGTGGCCCGGCGGTAGCGTTTTCGTGGCTCATTGCAGAGGCTCGTGGTTCAAATCAAGCGGCCTGCCCGGTGATTACTGCCGGTATAATAACCATAATAATAATCTATACCAGTCTGGCTTACAGTGGACATTAAAGATCCCGTGAGGTCATTTGCAAGATTAGGCCTGTGGTCGCACGAGGTTCCAAATTAGAAAATTACAACGCACACAATTGGGTATTATACAGAGCAATCACCGTCCCCTCTCCTGGCAGACTAATGCCCCGGGTCACTCTTGTACATTAGACCATCCTGATCCCTTTGACTTCTCAGCTGGTTATTAAACGCCGTAGAATGGGACCGTCATCTTCCATCCTTCTGCCCGTGGGGGGTTGGCGCATGCAGGTGCTCCAACGACAAGGGCTACTTCTCCGTTTCCGAGAAGTGCTCCGACTTTTGCCAGGATGACCTGGCAGACGACGACATCATGGTGTTGGACAATGGCGACGAGGTACGTGCTCACGCACGCACAGACGCACGCACAGACGCACGCACAGACGCACGCACATACAAACAACAAGACAAAGATCCCACATATAGCCTTAACAGACTTTTGGGGTAAGATCTGTTAGCGAGCACCTATGAAGACTGGCACAATAAATGCATCCTCCGATTAGCGTGGTTGGCTTACGTACGGTATGAATCTGCACACCGCACTCACCTTGATTTGCTTGCCTTGCAGGTGTACATGTGGGTGGGCACGCAGACCAGCCAGGTGGAGATCAAGCTGGGGCTCAAGGCCACACAGGTACGTGGCGGCCGTGCCTTAACCCAGCGAACAGCGCGTGTCGGTGATGGGAGCTGGCCTATTGGGGGCCCTAAGCAGACAATCTTTGGGGAGAGGGGGGGCGAGGTCCCCCTTGTAATTTATAAAATCCTCGTGAGATGACAAGAAGGGATTTGCTATCATTGCGCTTGTTTACGTCAGAAAAGCCTCACTAAAATCTCGGGACTCTTATTCAGGAGGGTCCTACGAAGTTTTCAAGGTCGGGTAACATCAGCCATATCTTTGCGGTGATCACGTTAGAAATATTGTTTGGGGGGGGGGGGGTGGGGGGCGGACGTTCTGTGCCGCTGTTAAAAGTCGAGCTTCGCCAACATCACTGCCCCATGGAGCTGTATTGCCTCTTATGTAAACGGACACCTAGCAAAGGCCCCGTTTCTTACAGGTCTACATCCAGCACATGAAGAGCAAGGAGGCGGAGAATCCACGCAAGCTGCGCCTGGTGCGCAAGGGCAACGAGCCGCACATATTCTCGCGCTGCTTCCACGCCTGGGTGCCCTTCCCCAAGCCGACGAACTGATGCCTTCAGTGGCAAGTGACGGTTGCCTACTCGCACCTCTATAAACGCCCCCTTTCGTCGGCAGCCTGCAATAACACCCGCCCCCAAAGTAAACAATTTAAACTAAGCTAATTGAAACTATTTAATATTTTAGCAGGTAAGGCCCAATGAGCTCTACTATAAATAGCTCTTTTTCAGAAACGGCCCAGCCACAAATGATAGTTCAACGAAAGTGGCTTGTTGTGTGGAAATTTATAGCAGCCAAATACTCTAAATGCACGTTTATTCTAAATGTGGAGGGAAAAAACCAGAGGACCCGGAGAAAAATCCATGTGGCCACGGGGAGAACATGCAAACTCCAAATATACAGGGGTCGGGATCGAACCCACGACCTCCTGCATACCAGGCGAGGGAGTGAACACCTCGCCACCACGGCACCTTTTGCATGTCTGAACAAACCATAGCTGTGTGCACACGATTTGCTGTTGGTGTAACAACTCCCATTGTTCTGACTTTGGTTGAGTGATGGTGGCAGGAAATGGCATATCATCAGATATTATTTGCCACACGCAGTGCATCTCCCATCAATATGTAGAAATCTCAACGATGTCATTCCATTTGAGACCAGTTGAATAGCAGCTTTGACGGAAAGAAAATATGCGTTTGGTTCAAATGATATAATTTCTGCCTGAATGCCTAACAAGATCAGCTTAAACTTCATGAAAAGCAGATTGCAGCATGAACCAAAGCATCCATGCAAAGATTTTTTGTTCAGTTACATCGTTGGCGGTAATGATGCAGCACTGATGGGAGTTCAGTTTGGCCGAATAATCAGTGAAATCCAGAAAAAAACTTGCCAAAACATCCTCCTTGTAGCCTGCTCTCAATCTCAAAGTAGTACAGCTATGGACGCATCTAGGCTCCAATGCCCCGACACACCCTTGCAGCGACACCTGGTTGTCGACACCACTCAGGAGTGTACTCCCGAGTGCTCGACTCCAAGAAATTAAATCCCAGGATTGGATAATCGTGGATCCATATTTGCACTGGTTGTTCACGAGATATTTTTTTTTAATCAGAATTCGGTCCACACCTAGTGAACACTCCTCTGCACTAAAGCAAGTCAGTGACCCAAACTCTTACTGGATCTAAAGCAGGTTGATTCTTAAATTCTTGTTCCTATCAAAGCTGTATTAAATGCCAGGTTTGGAAAACCCAGAGGTCCGAAGGCTGGCATGGGTTACTGAGGCTAAGTGCACAAGCATAGGCCACAAGGACAAACCACACGGCACAGGCCAGCTGATACCATATGTGGGATAACAAGGGTGGTCAGCGAGATATTACATCCGGATTGACGTTTCACCATTTTGGACACACGAGAATGCTTCTCATATCAAGTCCGTGTCCTTAACAATGGATTGAAACCAACCGGGATACATTACACCATCGATTCATATCGATCCTCAAGATAGTGTATATCGAATGGTGTTAAGCATCGATGTTTTTCAATTTGCGTACATTATAATTGGCCGTCACCTCTGCAGCCACTGGAGGTGTTACCATTCGAAAAACGTGTTATTAAAATCAACATTTGAATGCAATCACAAACACGAATTGTGAGAACTCATGGAGTCCATTCCACCACTACTGAATTCATACCAGAACCTTGTCTGCACTCGATTCCAATGAATGAAAAGGCAATATGAAATCGAAACCTCTTAGCAACTTTGTCACCTAATTTGTAACATCAGCAGTCACTAGATGTGCACTGGTGTTGGTGCAGCTTTATTTCATATCCGCACTTGATGTTCACCATTACAGATTTCACGGGAACATTGGGTCTTACCGATCGGCACCAACTAAACCAAACTTAGCCTTGCACAGGCCGACTCAAATTGTAGTTTATTACCGAAACAGTATTGTTCAACTATGACAGTGGCTTTCTTGACACGTTAAGTATTCATAAGGCTGTAGTCTCCTAAGCCTTGTCTAAAGAACAACCATATTAGCTGCCTGAATGTGTGTGTGCGCTTCTGTCGCAGCAGAGCTCCAGCTGTGCTTCTGCCCAGCATTTCAATCGAGCAATGCGACCACATTCACGTTGTAAGCACCATCGCGTAATGAATTTCAACCAGCCAATTTGCCTTTTTTCCTGTTCTCTCTGCAAGTCGTACACGAACCGGCGTTAAGCTCGATCGCTGTCAAATGTTTCATGTGTGTCGTGCAGTAGCGTCTCCGGTGTTGCTATTCTACGGTAGGTGGTCACCACTCTTAATAAAAAGGATGGCTTCCATGGAGAATAAGCTGTCCTTGCAGTTACGTAACAAAGATCCCCCCCCCCCCCGTCACATAGCCTGAACAGACTGTTGGAGCAAGGGCTGCTGGCGAGTAGCACCTATGAAGGCACACAAGGGTTCTGGGGTGGCCAGCACCATGCCCGGCCACCTTTGTCTCACTAGTGGTGGTATTTACACATCGCACCAGGTACTCATGTGAGCCGGAGTCGACCTCGGGGAGGTGTCCAGGAGTGGTTCAGATAACTTTCACCGGTGTTGGGCGTGAGCACGAATCGAACTCCGGTCGCTGGGTTCGTAGCGCTGCGCACTAACGGCTGCCGCTCCCAACTTCAGTTACACACAATGACACACGCGTGGAAATAGGCACAGACACGCAGGATGAACCAACACAAACTTGAGACCAACAGACCCACAAGGAAAGAAAACTGAACTGCCATTTCAATTATCACCTTTTTTTTTATTCCAATGGACAATGGGGTAAATTTACAAAAGATTGATGCAAGCAATTCTGCAAAAGGTGGTTCCGAATTAATTGTTTGGGCACATGTCCATCAGAAACGCAAATTGCCAAGGGAATGTTACATTCGGCATCTTCGCACGTCGTTTTCCGGAGGAAGGTGATGCGAAAGTGGAGCGCCCGGGGCAGCTTAAACCCGAGCCGGTTTCTCGGTCCCCAGTTTTTTCAGCCCTTTCTTGAGCTGAGCAGGGCGAGAAGAACAAAACGACCCAAACGTTCACATCGCGTTCGCAACAACCGCGGGGGGGGGGGGGGGGGTTTCGCACGAGGTTTTGTGTCGCTTTTACCTCCTCAAACTTGTGTATCTGCCGAATGAAGAAGTCGCCGTAGCGGCGAGCCACCTTGGTGTCTGCGATGTGGATCATGTCCTGGTTATAAAACACAAGTTGATGGAACATAAAATACATAAGCTGACGTCACATTCACACAAGCCCAAGCGGCCACGATACGGGCACAAAATCATCACAAGCGCGTACATTATACCGCACGTAGCACACCAAACTCAATTCCCGGAGGGAGAATTCCATGCAATAACCTTAACTTCGTTTTAGTTCACATTCCCCATGCTGGGGACATGTAATTCCCAGTATGGGCTCCCCGATCCTGCTTAGCAAACCAATGTTAACCCATTTTAACCTGGTGTTGACAGGATACAAATCAATAAAAAGAAATATTTGGGTTGGAGTTGGAAGTAAACAAAGCACATCACGCGCTCGTGCAATCACCTGGTCAATGTAGAAGTCCACCTCGGAGGACGACTGGAACTCTCCCTCCAGGGCCGAGATGCCGCTGGTCCACACCAGGTTTTTCATCTTGTGCTTGAAGACGAGCAGCTGGATCCTGAACGCCTCCTCCGACATGTCCAGGAAGCCGGCCAGCTTCTGCACCGGCATGGTGGTGTAGAGCTTCAGGTAGCTGCGAGGAGTCAGGGGGGGGGGGACACACACACGCAATGTTACTGTCTTCGCGCACACACGCTGCCTGGCTCCCAATATAACATCGTCCAGAACATCATGGTGGGTTACCAAGAGTCATAAAACTATTTTTTATTCTCTATATGACAATTATCGCGATTATAAGTTCACCTTGACTTTGCAAATGTAGTTTGCATCTGCATTGTTTCATCAAACCTACGTATTAACATTATACAGTAAAACCTTGGATTGCGAGCATAATTTGTTCCGGAAACGTGTTTGTAATCCAAAGCACTCGTATATCAGTTGTCATCACGTGACGGTCGGCAGATAAAGCGTAAACGTACTACTTGTATTGCAAGACCCTCGCTCGTTCATCAAATTAATATTTATTTAACATTTTTGCTCGTCTCGCAAAACACTCGCAGACCAAGTCACTCGCAATCCGAGGCTTTACTGTACATTTTTTTTTTTTTTACAATTGAGAACCAAATTAGTGCAAGGCTGCAAACAAAGGTTAAGAACCACCGACCTCGGCCGACGAGACCAAGCCGCGGAGAGCGTCACCTGCGCATGTTGGAGATCATGCTCTGCTGCTGCACCTCGTCCATGAACACCTTGAGCTGCTGCATGTAGGGCTCCTTGTGGTAGGTGCCCGTCACCAGGTCGTAGTTGGGCACCACGGGCGAAAGGAACTTGGGGCACGCGAAGCTGAACAGCTCCTCAAACAGCTGCTGCTCTCTGCATGACCAAAAGGCGCATCGACGTCAGCCGCTCGCAATCCACGTCTGGATGATCAACGTCCATCTCTATTAAAAAACTTCTTTTTTATTTTACCGGGTAAGGCCCGCTTGACCTACACCGCTATTTTTCAGAGGCGACCTGGCCACAAATGTTAGCTCAACTAAGTGGCATATAATGTGCAAATGTATAGCAGCGAAACACTACACGCATGTTGTTTCTAGTTGTGGAGAGAGAAAAATCCACGCGACCACGGGGAGGAACATGCAAACTCCCAAATAAACAAGCGTCAGGGGTCGGGATCGAACCCACGCACCTGTATAACAGGCAAGGGAGTCAACAGCTTGCCACAATGGTGCCCCTGTGCAGGATACAGGTAGGGGGGGGGGGGGCGTTCTTTAGCTGGGAGTGGACACGCCGTACCCTTTCTGCATCCGCAGCATCTTGTCTCCGAGCTTCTCCCGCAGCTGTGTGTGGATGCTCTCGTCGATGCGCATGGGGTACAGGCTCAAGGTTATGGCCAGCAGATTAAACACCTGCTCGTTCTGCTTGTTCACCTGTAACACGCACACGCGCGCGCACGCACGTGTCAACAGCCACAATTTGCACGCTCCCAATGGGGTTTTTTTGTTTGTTGCCAAGAAGGATTCACTGCTTTCAATCTAATCTCAGCCCCATAATATAACTTGCCGAGAGGAAATAATTAAAGGCACTGGCAAAAAAAGTTGTTTCAGGAATTAAATAAAAAAAATATTCCATGGCCATTATTGCTCGAGAGAGTAGCAAGAGTGCGCAGTAATCG